TAACTTGTTTACTTGAACATTAAAGTCACAGATAAACGCTAATTCATTTTCTGCAGAGGATATTGACTTCTCTTTATATTTTAAAAGGACTTCTCTCTCTTTAAGCATTATCTCATCATAAGCATTATCAAGTAACTGTTTACTATAACCTTTATCCGAGAAATCAGTAATAATTTTTTGTGCTTGTTCTTGAAACATAACGGTATCGGTACAATTACGTCTAACTCTCAGGAGTTGAGCCTTTGGTGCGTTAAGGAGCCAGGGTGAATAGTGACAGCTACTACCCTCAATGTAACTGTTCACATCCACCTTTTTGAAAAAGGTACTGGTCTTAATTGTATTATTCTCAATAAAAATATTAAAGTCTAGAAATTCGACTGAATGTTTACTACTGTTCCTAGTGAGTTTATTACCCCAATCATTATTATCAATATGTGAGAAGAAAAGATCAAGGGACTCACTATTTCCTTTCCAAATAAAGAAAATGTCATCTATATAACGATGGTAGGACACCAGGCTTGCACCCCATCTCTGGTCGCCAAAGATGAATAAATGTTCCCAATAGGACATAAATAAATTGGCGTAGCTGGGTGCAAACCCGGTGCCCATTGCCGTTCCACAGGTCTGCAAGTAGAATTTCTCATTAAACCAAAAGTAATTGTTACAAAGGATCCAATCGATACCCTCCAAAATGAAATCAACTTGGGATTGAGGAAAAATGTGGTCGCTTCCCATCCTTTACCATGTTGTATAATGGTGTATAGAGAATTAACATCGGCTGTTACTAGCCAACATTTTTCTTCCCATACGATGTCTTTAAGAATTTGAAGGATATTTATAGTATCCTTCAAGTGACCTACACATTTCCTTACTATAGGTTGTAAACATTGGTCAATATATTGCGAGAGCCTACCAGATATAGACCCAATTCCCGAAATGATGGGACGTCCTGGTGGCTTAGTTATATGTTTATGAATTTTAGGCAAGTAATAGAAGACCGGGATTCTAGGGTAATGTATATTCAAGAAATCTGATTCTTTCTTGTTGAGAATACCCCCTAGTTTACCTTTATCTATCAGCCTAATATAACTTGCCTTAATTTCATTAGTTGGGTCTCTATTGAGGATTGTATATGTCTTAGGGTCGTCCAACAACCTATTGGATTCTTCTATATAATCAGCTCTCTCAATAAGAACAATGCCCCCTCCCTTATCAGCTGGTTTTATAACCAGTGTATTATCATTTTTAAACATTTTCAAAGTCCTTCTCTCTTGGAAGGTTAAATTATACTCATTTTTCCCCCAATTGGTTTAATCCGATTGAGGTCCTTCATAACCATTTTCTCAAATGTTGACATTTCATTTGAAATACAAAATTTTTTGGGGAAAAATGCGATTTTTCTTTAAGTTCAGTGTGTACAAATTCATCACTTACTTCACTAGAAACAGATCTCAATTTCGGATTCCTGTGAAAAATTTTCTTTAAGCACATTTTTCTTTTAAACCTATTTAAATCCAAATAAGTATTACATTTGTCCAATGTTCTGGTAGGGGCAAATTTTAGGCCCTTTTCGAGTAATGACAACTGGGGTTTAGAAAGTACTCTGTTGGTGAGATTAAAGATACAATTTTTAATCACTTTTTGTCTCTTTTTCCTCTTTTGTAGAGACATTCCTCCTCTAGTTCCCCTTCCTCTAGAGACCTCCTCCTTTTTCCTGGTGATCTCTGAAAGGATGGGGATCCTTTGTATCGCTCCCTCTCCTGAAGTTCCCAAAAATCCTCCTGTCTTGGTGACTGGTCTAAATGTGAGAATCTATTGTATGAAAGACAAATGGAGGGAAAATTACAGTTTGGATTGGCTCTCAATAAGGTGAGCAAGTACCTGCATCAATTTAAATTGCAATATTGGTTTAAAGGATAACACACTAGGACTTTGTTCCACTGTTTCTTTTCTCCTTTTTCTAAGTATCTGAAAGTTGTCATAGAAGAAGTCTGGTATTTACTTTAAATACCCCAGCTCTTGTGATTTGAGCCTATCCTTTCCAGGCTCTAAGTCATGTGAGCTTGCTACATTTAAAGTCTTTTCTTACTATTTAGTTCCAAGCATACTGCACCAATTATATAAAAGATTAGCTTGTTTTCAGCACAGAGACTACTCTGCTGCACTTTTGTCAGCATCCCTGTTGACCATTCCACGTTCTCGTCCAATCCAATGCTTCTCATAAAGCAGCACTGGTTGAAGGACAGAGTTTGACAGTTGCTGTCAGTAAGACAGACATTACAGGTGTATTTAACCCTTCAATCTACAATTTGCAGTTCCTATCGCCACTATGCTGTAGTGCTGTACTGCCAATTTTATTATCAGAACAAATAATGCTTGAACTTTTATTCTCCTGCTCGAGTTCGGACGTCTATCCCTCGGGGGATCTTGTGTTGCTGTATTCTTAGTTTGTAAATGTTATTTATTCTTGTTATCATATTTTGTTTCTTCCCACAGCAAATTAGTTTCAGACCCCAAAGATTAATTTGGACTGTGAAGGATCCTCAATACCTCGTTTCTTTAAATCACTTGTGTTGTTGAATCTACTTTTATGATTTGTGAACCCATTCTACAGAGCTACATAATCTTTTGATATAAAAATATCATATATAATAAATAACATAGAATGTGACGGCAGATAAGAACCATTCGGCCCTTCTAATCTGCCCAATTTTCTAAATACTTTCATTAGTCCCTGGCCTTATCTTATAGTTAAATGTTTCTATCATATCCCCCTGTCTCGTCTTTCCTCCAAGCTATACATGTTAAGATCCTTTAACCTTTCCTGGTAAGTTTTATCCTGCAATCCATGAACCAGTTTAGTAGCCCTTCTCTGAACTCTCTCTAAAGTATCAATATCCTTCTGGAGATACAGTCTCCAGTACTGCATACAATACTCCAAGTGAGGTCTCACCAGTGTTCTGTACAATGGCATGAGCACTTCCCTCTTTCTACTGCTAATACGTCTCCCTATACAACCAAGCATTCTGCTTGCATTTCCTGCTGCTCGATTACATTGTCTGCCTACCTTTAAGTCATCGGAAATAATCACCCCTAAATCCCTCTCATCAGATGTTGAGGTTAGGACTCTATCAAACATTCTGTACTCTCAGAGAAACCAATACTGAGGGCTAATGGATTAGCTCCAAAGTGCCCAATGTCACTCTCCCTAAGGTTGGGGAATAACCCTCAAAATATAATATAAAAGGGAGGACTGAAAGTCCTAGTTGGGAGAGTAACAAAAGAGGAGAGGGAGAGGGAAAGGGAGAGGGAGGAGGAGAGGGAGAGGAGAGGAAAGAACTCTGCCCTTGGGTTTTTACATCCAAGATGCAATATCTTGCACTTATCCACATTAAATGTAAGCTGCCACAACTTATTTTTCTAGTTTACCTAAATCACTTGCCATTTGGCTTATCCCTCCAGGAACATCAACCCTGTTACAGATCTTTGTATCATCAGCAAAATGACATACCTTACCATCAAGACCTTCTGCAATATCACTAATAAAAATAATAAAGAGAATGGGTCCAAGTACAGATCCCCGAGGTACCCCACTGGTGACAAGCCCATACATCGAATATACTCCATTGACTACAACCCTCTGTTGCCTGTCACTCAGCCACTGCCTTACCCATTCAACAATATTGGAATCCAAACTTAAAGATTGCAGTTTATTGATAAGCCTTCTATGTGCAACAGTGTCAAAAGCCTTACTGAAATCTAGGTAAGCAATGTCTACTGCACCACCCTGATCTATTATTTTAGTTACCCAAACAAAAAAAGCCATATAGGCTGAAAGTGGCCTTTTTTCCACATGAAAAATATATTGGATTTTCAGAGAAACACATAACGAATAAAGTAGCACAATAATATACAGAAAGTACCAAGTGACCTAATTTAATGCACAAAGATGAAGCCTTAAAATAAATATGCAAACCTTAAAAAAAAATTTAAATTTTTTTTAATAATTTTTACATTTTAATTTAAATGTAATAAAAAAAAATAAAAAACCATATATACTACTGTTGGATCTCTTTGCATCTGCTGCAGTGAGCTCTCCCCAGAGCTCCCACTATTTTCAGTGTGGGTAAAGCACATCTCATAAATCCCTGCCCATCAAGGATAAGCAGCAGTGCCACAGTCTACAATACACATCTCTTAAATGCTCTACAGAGTACTCTGGAATTCACAGATAACAAAGCAAACTCAATTATTCATTCAAACACAAAAGAGAAACATAATTAGGGGCTGCACATCTTTTCATTATACCATGCTCTTAAGTAAGTGAAAGGTTACCAGTGATAAGTGATTTCACTTCCAGGCATTCTGCTTCCCACCAACATTTAACATTACTTTTGGCTAATCTGACCCAACATAATGATTCCCATATCCCTTCCTCTGATGTCCACAGACAATTAATTATATGCAACCCTTTTATGTCCTTACTGGCTAAAAATTATTTTTACATTAAAATAGGAGACAGTCACTGACTGATTTTAATTTGTGGCACTTTATAAATTTGTCTTTAATATGGTTATAAATAGGATGAAAGGGTGTTTGCAAGAACGAACGCACACACAAATTTGATGAAACCTGGTCAAAGGGAAATATACTAATTATGCATTACACAAACTCTTTCTTGAAGTATTTGCTGTGTAATGTCACCGGGGTAGTTAAATTTTTGTTTGGGTGAAATCCCAACCACAACCTTAGTTCAGTTGTAAATCTGAAACTTTTAATGGGACTATTTGCTGTATTAAACTTAGAGTTTAGGGTATATACCTCTCAATATATAAGCACATGAATGAACTTCTCATCCACAAGAATTGAGGATTTTGAAACCATTCAAAATCAGTAGATGCGTTCAAGCCTGCCTATAGGACTTTTTATTTTTTTTTATGTATTTATTTAAACCACAGAATACATTACCTACTCCATAACATAACAGACTGGATGCACTTTTACTGTAATAGCACTAACCCAGGCTGATTCTCCTTGTCCTCCTGCTCATTAGACCTCTCTGATCGGAAGCGCTTAGAAGCCAGTGCCTCCTCGCATCTTTCCAGCTCTTTCCGCCGCAGCTCTCTGATAGCCGTTCGGATTTCTCGCCGCTCTGCAAGATCCAGGGTAGCCTCCAGCTGTGGATGACAAAGGACATTAGGACAAGTATACATTGGAAGCATGAATCATGGGGGGTCAAAATCTGTGTGGGCTTCAAGCGGAGTTGAAAAAGTATGTTCTGGCACAGGCAGGCTGGCTGCTTAATGATAAAAGAATAGATACATTTTCCATAGTTTAAACAAACAAGGCTTTTTAAAAATTTCAACACAGATTTGTTTATGGAAAACTGGATTTTACTCTAGCGCAAATAAATGGGGGAACACTTAATCCATTTGCAATCAGACAACCTTTAAAAAAAAATATTAAAAAAAATAAAGCCATGAAGAGTTAATCTTTAACGTATACAGAAGGAATTTGGCATCAAAATATATCAACTCATTTGTATTCTGATGTCAGTATGAGGATTATGCTTCAAGCTGTAGGCCCAGCCAGCTGTTCCGAGAGACTCTAGCTCCTAGATGGATATACTTTAGAAAGGTAATTTTTTCAAACTGCAGCAGAGAATTAGCATTTTCTTTTCCATACACTTGAATAAATACTGAAACATAAAAATAAAAAAATAAATAAAAAAAACCACAATAATATATAGAGCGCACGGACAACACCAAGACGCATATTACAGACTCACCATAGCGGCATTTGGGTGTGAGCTCCCCTCTACACGACACCACCCTAATAGAGCATACACTCAGCCATATCTCGCCTGTACGATGGACAGAACTACTCCATCGGTAGCAGCAGGTCGCTTTCCCCTATCCATCACCATATGACTACCGTAACATATTAATCTATTTTCCCTCCTTGTTGAAACTCACTGTTACTACAAAGTTAAGCTCTATATTATAAAAATGTGTGAAGAGACTGAATGCCACATAATGAAACATAACCACGGACTTCAAAATCTAACCAATGTATGCATGTATAATGTCAACCATTACTCATGTGATGCTGTTGTGGCTCTGCAGGAGACATTTGTATACTAAAGCACAATAAAATAAAGAATTTAAAAAAAAAATTATAGAGAGATAGAGAGAGAGAAAATTAGGAGAAGGTTTCTACTATGAGATAGAAAGAAAAAAAAAAAAAAAGAGTACAGAACACTTTAAAAAATGGTATCCAGGGGGACGGAACTTGAACATTTAACTGAGCAGTCGCATGCCATGCGAGCTCCTGCACAAGCCGACAATTTTCGCGGTAATACCCCCGTTTCCAGCCTGAATCCTCGTACCCACACTCGTAACCCTACCTGGGGACAAGTTGCTGATCACACTGACTCAACATTCAAGCCCCTGAGACGCAGGGAGCCCACAGAGACAAATTGCAGCCTGCAAATGACCCGGTTGAGGGAAAGGCGGCCAACTTCCCCGCTCTCCTGGATACTGAAAATAATTGCCTCAGTCCCCTCTCCCCCCCCCCCTCATCCCAGTCCCCACTGGACTGTTCAAGTCAAACCCTGTGGTCAGTGAGGATTACTTACCTGCACGCAACAAGAACCTTGAAAATGGCAGGCAGACAAACATTCTCCAGCAGAGCTGGCTCTCCTACCAACCAGCATTGGTCTCAGCATTTCTGTTGAACGTTCCCTGGAGAAACTGAAAGCAATATTTACCAGCTTCTGGGCTAAATTGGAAGCACGAGCAGCAGCTTCAGCTTCCCAACAGACTGCTGTTCAACAAGCTGATCCACGTAGAGTGAGCGGGTCCTCTCCGGACACTTAAGGAAAGCAAGCTCCCGTTCTCGAGCCAAAAGCCAACCAGGGCTCAACACCACCAAACCAGCGACTGCCTGCTGTTCATCAGATGGGGACCCATCACTATATCCCATATTGAGCCACCAAGTCCGCAAAATGGAGGCACTGGCCACCACACAGGCCCAGTTCTGGATACCCTCTCTCTATGTAGTCCCAGCCACCCCCCTATTAGAATCTCTGCCTGCTCATTAGGCCATCAGACTATGGGAATTGGATGAGGTTTACTCTGATGGAATCAGGTGGTCTGTCCACGATAAGAGAGAGAGCCACGAGGCCGGAGAAGCCACCATTTTATATTATATGAGGTCTTATATTGCTTACGCTAACCTGTTGTCCACTAGTCTTATGTTTATTTCCTACATTATCACAAGCTCTACATGTCTCAAAGACTCTGAATGCAATCCCAGGGGAACTTAATCCAGTTCATCTGTTTAATCATGATTAATACTCTCAAGTAACGCTAATTGATTAAGCAATGTTATACCTACCTTATGTAGCCTGTTTTGCTTATGCCTTAACATAATTACTCTTAAAAAATAAAAAAAAAATAAAATGCAGTACTGCAATATGCCACTATTGTCTCTTGCGAAACGCCAGATATTGCTATTGTGGCAAATCACACCTGCCTGTAATCAAATCGCACAACAAAAATAAAGAATAAATAAATAAAATAAAAAACACAACAAAAACTGGGATCAAACTAAAGAAACACTATAGCTTTAGGAATACAAACCTATATTCCTAATGCTATAATGCCCCTGTCACTAGCTCTACACAGGTGTGTTTCCCCAGTTTACCATAAAAGTGTGAGTGCGTGTTTACTTACATAGAATGTGACGGTAGATAAGAACTATTCGGCCCATCTAGTCTGCCCAATTTTCTAAATAATTTCATTAATCCCTAGCCTTATCTTCTAGTTAGGATAGCCTTATGCCTATCCCACGCATGCTTAAACTCCTTTACCACTTCAGCTGGAAGGCTATTCCATGCATCCACTACTCTCTCAGTAAAGTAATCCTTCCTGATATTTTTAAACCTTTGTCCCTCTAATTTAAGACTATGTCCTCTTGTTGTGGTAGTTTTTCTTCTTTTAAATATAGTCTCCTCCTTTACTGTGTTGATTCCCTTTATGTATTTAAATGTTTCTATCATATTCCCCCTGTCTCGTCTTTCCTCCAAGCTATACATGTTAAGATCCTTTAACCTTTCCTGGTAAGTTTTATCCTGCAATCCATAAACCAGTTTAGTAACCCTTCTCTGAACTCTCTCTAAAGTATCAATAGCCTTCTGAAGATACGGTCTCCAGTACTGTGTACAATACTCCAAGTGAGGTATCACCAGTGTTCTGTACAATGGCATGAGCAATTCCCTCTTTCTACTGCTAATACCTCTCCCTATACAACCAAGCATTTTGCTAGCATTTCCTGCTGCTCTATGACATTGTCTGCCTTTATTCTGCCTCCAACTACGTCACAGAGGAGGCATGGCCTACTCCATAATGGTCCAATCCAATGCTCCCCAGAGGAGTATTGGATATCTAATGTGCATGCATGGTATGCACTGCATACACATTCAAGCCTCCTCAAAGCATTGTATTCAATGCTTTCCTATGGGCTTCCGTGTCACGTGACTGAGTTATTTGGTCACGGCAGCAGATGCGTCTCTAGTGTGTCATACTGACATCCACTAGTGCAGGACTTAAAGGACCACTATAGTGCCAGGAAAACACTGGTTTTCCTGGCACTATAGTGCCCTGAGGGTGTCCCCACCCTTATGGACCCCCTCCCGCCGGGCTGGATGGCGAGGATAGGGTTAAATCTTACCTTTTTTTTCCAGCGCCGGACGGGGAGCTTTCCTCCTCCTCTCCTCCTGAATGTGCATGCGCGGCAGGAGCTGCGCGCGCATTCAGCCAGTCTCATAGGAAAGCATTCATAATGCTTCCCTATGGACGCTGGCGTCTTCTCACTGTGATTTTCACAGTGAGAAGCACGCAAACGCCTCTAGCGGCTGTCAATGAGACAGCCATTAGAGGCTGGATTAACCCATTTATAAACATAGCAGTTTCTCTGAAACTGCTATGTTATTAATAAAAAAAGGGTTAATCCTAGAGGGACCTGGCACCCAGACCACTTCATTAAGCTGAAGTGGTCTGGGTGCCTAGAGTGGTCCTTTAACCCTTCAATGTAAACATTGTAGTGTCTAAAAACCCTGCAGTGTTTTACATTGCAGGGTTAAAATGACAGGGACACAGCATTTAGACCACTTCATTGAGAAGTTGACCATCTTGTTCATTTAACACTATAATGACTGCTAATGATTTGCTTGAAATAACTTCTGGTAACATGTTACACAATATGTAAAATCACAAAATAAAAAATTATTTCATCATATATTAGAATAAAATATTACTACTTTAATCCACTGCCAGACATCTCTCTCCAGCGCACAGGAAGGCAACCTCCTGCACTCCAAAGATGTGGACTACACCTCCCCTGATGCTCTGCCAGCATTAGGACTTTAAGGGCATTGTGAGAGACGCAGTGCCAACAGCATCTGGAGTTCTGAAGTTTTGCCTACCCTGTTCTAGCTGTTGAGCATGTACCAGTAGTAAATCTTTTGTGCCCTAAATATTATGGAAGTCAAGCTATGAGCTAGTGGACTGGAGCTTGCCTGCCAGTTGTAAAAGCTGTGGACAAGATAAACCCACTCAAGGTACACTACAGACATATTGGCAGGTTGGATGGAAAATCAATGCTTATACTCTCACTTTTAATTAACTGGTTGAAGCAAAATGAACAAGAACATGTTAATATGTATGTACGCACACATTTATAAGAGAGATTAAGTAGATGGATGAAATGAGAATAAAAAAACAAAAACAAAGGATAAAGAGAATTCAGCAACAGATCATATAAATCCTATAATTTAACCCATACCCCAAGTGCAGAACTAATTATTTAATTTATCTCTCTATGGCTAACACTAACACACACAAACACACACACACACGTTACGTATAGGTAAAAAGTGAATACATCCCAATAAAAGGGGGACTCAATACTGGATTTTAAAGAAGGGAAAAATCAAAACTGCAACTATAATAACTAGCTTAGAGCTAAGATTTGTGGGGAGATAATTACAAATATCCTCAGCTTTATATGCCCATAGTATCTAATAAAGTACTTTATTAGGTAAAAACATGAAGAAAAAAAAGGACCAAAATGGAACTTATGTTGGGAAGCAGATATAATTGCTACGTATATTACAACCACAAAATCCTTGTTTAGTGATCAACAACTGCAGCCGTACTCAATTGGGGCTTAAATCAACCCTAGTAATGGCTGCTAAATCCAGATAAACAGGATTGCTATAAGGGAACGTTCACTTAATAGTGATCTGGGTAATACACAAAATCTTGGAAGCAAAGAACCATATGGCAACAGTGCTATAGAGTAAAGCAGGGTGTGCTAAGAATTATCATGAAAAAAATACACGCTTCCAAACATAAATGAGTTACAAATCACTCATATTAAATGAAGCAGCGTTTTGGTAGAAGTATTCTTATCCCCTTTGATACAGCTAAGTAGCAGCAGCCTCGTAGATAAATGAGAGGTGGGAATGAGAAAAAGGGATAGATTTCTATGTGAAACACACAATAATTGGCAAATATAGAGATGCCCTAAATACTAGCCCCTAATTCTGCTAAAACAACACCTTCGTGGGTGTTCTTAGCTGATCCCTCATATCTGAATGCTCCAAGTCTTTGCCTTCAAACTTCCCCCACAAAACCAAAAAAGTCTAAGAACGGAAAGTAGTGCTTAAACACCCTGTGCGCGCATAAGTGCTAGAAGTGCTCCAAAATATTTATTTTTTATTTGGAGCACTTCTACATATATAGCTGAGGATATTTGTGATTATCTCCCCACAAATTTTAGCTCTAAGCTAGTTATTATAGTTGCAGTTTTGATTTTTCCCTTCTTTAAAATCCAGTATTGAGTACCCCCTTGATTGGGGTGCAATCACTTTATCTGTTTTTGGTTCAAGCCCACTTGGGTGGATCTGGTACCACCATACTGACCTCTGTGTTCTTATCCCATCTGTTGGGATTAGGTTACATAGTTCTATCTTTGCTTTCCATTTAATCCACCTATTACTTCTTCTAATAGCGAATAGCATAATTAAATTACACATGCTCCAAGGTTACAAATTACATGTAAGGTATGAAAAACAGAAAGGGAGAATTAGTTCTCAATTTTCTCAACTCATCAGACTGTTTAGTATGAAAATTCTACTTTGACTAGGCTTGCTGTCAGGATTATATAAATATGGCAGACAGAATTGGCATTGCAAATCTTAGTAAATATGGTTGTTGTTTTTAATAATCTCACAGTGAATTCTGTTTTCAATCCTACTTTTAGAACATAGAGGGAATAAATGTCTACTTGGCAATATGTGCCAATATGTGGAAAATATGCCAAGACGTTGAAGGGTTGAGGTCAGAGTTCGTCTGACTGATGCTCCGATGTGTTTAGATAAAGTTTGAAACGTTTATTTTAAATACATTTTGCCACTTTTTGCCAAGTATAAATAACTGCGAATCAGCTGTGAACACAAGTCAAAGTTTTTCTTTTTTTGCCAAAAAGACATTACTTTACAAAGTCAAGAAAAGTGCTGGATGTTTCCACAGAAAAAAAAAAAAGCCTTAAAAAGGAACCTGACAAAACATTTATATAAAATGATATTTATGTTCAGGCACAACTTTGCTTCATAAAATATGCGAGATGACTCTGAAAATGGAGTCTATTTGAATACAATGTCACAATCACTTTATTGTTTACAATAGCCAAGTGCTTTATTATTAAACAGATAGTTGCATTACAAAATTTAAAGAGGCCGCAAGAGGGAGGAAAAAAAATGCCTCTGAAATTAGACAAATTTGCGCAAGTACCAGGAATACAGATTTCTGAGCACAAGATTGATCATGTATGCTCAATTGTCTTTTCATATGATGTCACACGTTTGATTGATTGGCCCGTCTCTATAATTCTGATTATTATTATTGCCATTTATATAGCGCCAACCGATTCCGTAGCGCTTTACAATATTATGAGAGGGGGGATGTAACTATAAATAGGACAATTACAAGAAAACTTACGGGAACAATAGGTTGAAGACGACCCTGCTCAAACGAGCTTACAGTCTATAGGAGGTGGGGTATAAGACACGTTAGGACAGGAAATATCAAATATGGTGGGAGTGAAGCAGAGCTGGAGAGTAGAGCGCTGCCCTATAGGAGAGAGCAAGAGACAGGTATGTAAGGTAGAGGTTACGCTGGGAGGCCATAAGCTTTCCTAAAGAGATGGGTTTTAAGACCCTTCTTAAACGATTGAAGACTAGGGGAGAGTCTGATGGGGGTAGGCAGACTATTTCATAGGAAAGGAGCCGCCTGCGAGAAGTCCTGCAAGCGCGAGTTGGCCGTACGGGTGTGAGCAGCGGTCAGGAGGTGGTCACGGGCAGAGCGGAGGGAATGAGGAGGGGCATACCTATGGATCAGTGAAGAGATATAAGAAGGGCTAGAATTGTTCAGTGCTTTAAATGTATGGGTTAGCATTTTGAATTGACTCCTATAGGATACAGGGAGCCAATGTAAGGACTGGCAGAGGGGTGAGCGGACCGACTAGAGAGGAAAATCAGTCTGGCGGCGGCATTCATTAAAGACTGTAGCGGGGCAAAATGGCTTTTGGGGAGACCAATCAGGAGAGGGTTACAGTAATCCATGCGGGAAATTACTAGAGCATGGACAAGCTCCTTGGTAGCATCTTGTGTAAGAAATGGGCGAATACGGGTAATGTTTTTAAGTTGGAACCTACAGGATTTGGCAACAAACTGGATGTGAGGCTCAAAGGTGAGGCCAGAGTCTAGTATGATGCCAAGACAGCGTGCTTGCAAGGATGGACTTATGTGGATAACACTGACTTGAAGGGAGAGCGAAAGAGGAGTATCAGTATTAGGAGGAGGAAAGACAAGGAGTTCAGTTTTAGAGAGATTGAGTTACAAAAAGCGTGAGGACATCCAGTCAGAGATGGAAAAAAGGCAAGCAGTGACACGTTGCAGGACAGAAGGGGTGAGGTCCGGGGAGGAGAGGTATATCTGAGTGTCATCAGCGTACAGGTGGTAGTGGAATCCAAAAGAGGCAATAAGTTTGCCAAGAGAGGCAGTATAAAGAGGACAGAGCCTTGGGGAACTCCAACTGAGACAGGATGAGGGGAGGAGGTATCCTTGGAAATGGAGACACTGAATGAAAAAATGAATGAATGAGCGTTGAGAGAGATCAGAGGAAAACCACGAGAGGACAGAGTCACAGAGACCGAGCGATTGAAGAGTTTGACGGAGGGGAGCATGATCAATGGTGTCAAAGGCAGCAGAGAGGTCAAGGAGAATTAATATGGAGTAGTGACCTTTGGATTTAGCTGTGATTAGGTCATTAGTACCTTTGATAAGAGCAGTCTCAGTAGAGTGGAGAGGGCGGAAGCCAGACATAAGAGGGTCAAGGAGAGAGTTGGAATTGAGGAAGCGAGACACACAGGTAAAGACAAGTCTTTCCAGAAGTTTTGATGAAAAAAGGAGCAGGGATATGGGACAATAGTTAGAGGAGGAGAATGGGTCAAGAGATTTTTTTTTCAGGATAGGTACTACAGTGGCATGTTTAAGGTCAGCAGGAACAGTGCCAGAAGAGAGAGAGAGCAGTTGAAGATGTGTGTTAGGGTAGGCAAAAGACAAGGAGAGAGAGATCTGATGAGGTGAGATCTCTCTCTCCTTGATCGAGTGGGCAAGTGGTGCAGCGAGAGGAAAGGAGAAGCACAGCCACCTCTTGTTCAGTAGCTGAGGAGAAAGTCTGAATGGTAGGAAAGGCATGATTTACGTGTGGTTGAGAAAGAGAACAGCAAGGAGGGGAGAATTGTTTCCTTAGCTGTTCAATCTTGCCGGTAAAGTAGCATGCAAAGCTATCAGCTGTAAGGTTAGTTTGGGTGGTGGCCACAGCAGGGCGAAGAAGAGAATTAAAGGTGTCAAAGACATCTGGTATTGCAGGAGCATTAACTAATCAGAGAGGAAAATTATGACTGCTTGGCGAGGACAAGGGCTGTGCTGTATGAACGCAATATGAATCTATAATGGAGTAAGTTTGCCTGGGTGCGGGACTTCCTTCAGGACCGTTCAGCACAACGTGAGCAACTCTGCAGATAGCGTGCTGATTTAGTATGCCAAGGTTGGGGTCGTGTCCACCTTGAGGTGCATGTTTGGAGTGGGGCTGAAGTGTTCAAGGCAGAGGTGAGGGTAGTGTTATAATATGCATTCAGTTCTAACATCAAGGGTTCTTTCTCTTGACCTACACATAGAACTAAGTGACAGAGTGTTGTTCTGCTTTCACGTGGCTGTCCATAACTATTATGGACACCCCATTTCCAAAGGCAGCATGTCACTAGCGATGTGAATTCTATCATTAACATGCTCCAAACACATCCTCTCATCCCAATTGTATACCTGGTCAGATGACATACCAGTTGCACGTGCATTGAGAACAAAATAGGGTTTTTTACTAAAGTTAAAACTAAGGAATTCAAAGGGTATTTCAAAATGGCCTATGGAAGCAAAGGAGGACTTTGTGACAAAGCATCCTCATTTGGTACACCTTGTTTTCCATTGTCACTTAAAGACTATGAGACTATGGACCGTGGCCAGAAACACCGTTCGGGCATTAACCTACCAAGCCTCCCCAAGAGACTTATTCACGGTTCCCCCTGGTTCAGTGCCTACCCTCTCCCGAAATGATCTGAACACTCTCTCACCGACATGAACTTCCAAACAGGGTTAAGCGGTACTTAGCAGGAGAGTGCTTTTTGGAGGAAAAGTGCCGGAGATTGTGTGAAAACCAGGAGCCCCCCGACAGTTAACCGTCCAAAGTACTAATCGTGCTGGAACGGTTTTGGGCATGGAACACATGTGCGGCCGGTCAAAACTTTACCCCAGTGGCGCCTGGTCAATTCTCCATGGATTCAGGCGCTATTTGTACAAATATCTATGGATATAGTACATTTGGGGGTGCGTTACTGTATTGTGTCTATTTTCAGGGGTTTGGGGTTTATCGGTGACCAACTCAATTATCTCCCAGACACAGACGCCTGGGCGGGTTTATGGGTCTATGAATGGAGACCACATGCTGGGGGTCTGTGTATAAAATATGTGTGCCTTGCCTGAATAAGACAGATCTACTCCCAGCATCAAGTCTCGACTAATGTATGGGGGGGGGGGGGAAGCTATACCAGCTACATTTACTACTTTGTTTGCAAGGAGCTATACCACTACGGGAAAGGGAATCCTTGGCGGTGATAATATGGTGGTCCGCCACAAACTTGGAGAATATTTCCAGTTTAACCATTAAGGTCGTAAAGGTTTACTTCAAGTACCATGACCATTTCAGTGATCTGAATTGGTCATGGTGCCGGAAATCTGTATGTGCAGCATTTCCCTATTAAAAAACTTGGAAAGTTTAAATCCTTTGCTGCATTTTTGCAGACTAAGTCCCTTAAACAACGCTGGACTTCTTCACGCACTGCACGAAGACATCCAAAGCATATTAGCATCCGCGCATGCACATTAAGTCCCGCATCAGATGATGTTCAAGGTGGTGGAACGCCGACCAAGGTTGGAACTGGAATCAGGAGAGTGCCAACTTTGTATTCCTAGCCCTATAAATTCCCTTTAATCTTTCCTAGTATCATGGTATTACTGGAAAGATAGTTACCACTATATTACTAAGCTATGTATTACAGGATTTTTTACTTGGAAATTAGTGGTGGAATATATTGTTTTGTATTACAGTACAAGTGAAGACAACTCATTACTGGGATACAGACAGAAAAACAAACATAGGAGCTAAAGAGGAATATATAAAATGTCCCACTATCAGCCAAGTAGATCAAAGAGATGGGTAGTACCTTTGCTATATTTAGAAATGAATTTATTTTTTATCTTAGAATATGTAATGATCCATGGTTTTGAATCATCATCTAGATCAGTAACTTTTAACCAGTGTGTTGTAGCCTTATCAAACTGTGCCACAAATACAATGACTTCAGTTTTGTAACTGGATGACTGCAGTCCCCAGTATAGGTATGCACACACAGGACATATTAGGCACTATAACCACTTCAATGAGATAAAGCAATGTCCCTTTAATTAAAATCTGTACAACTATTTATTTAGATACTTATGTGCTATGCATGTTGCATACTTTTCTATTAAGACTCCTACAGGTAAATATAATAAATTATTGATGACTAAATATTTTATGGACATATTTTATCGTGGTCCAAAAAAAAAAAAAAAAAAGGTTGAGAAACACTGAATTTGATCAAACTACAGTAATAGACTGGAACTCTTGTTTTTTTCCCACAGTTCTAAAAATAATGAGGATTGAAGGGCAAAAATAAATGTTATTGAAAGTAAATTCCTTGTTTCTATTTCTGATTTTTTTTTTTTACAACTATATTAAATTGTAGTGAACACTATAAATGTATATATTTTGCCAAAAAGCAAGCAGAAGGGAAAAAAAAACCTTCAGTTTGTCAACTAATTCGAACAGGCATTATTCAATAATAACCCGTTTAAATCCTCTGGCTCTTTAGGCAAATTAATCTCTTCCCAGGGTTCTTCCAAATGCTAAAAGTCCCATTATCTCAGATTAGCACTTCCATAACCATATAGAAATATTTCACTTGTCTAGGTCAAAATAAAAATCTATATCTTTAAAGAACACAACTGTGATACAGTATTTACATCAATTTATAAATGTAGTTTATGTTTGCTAGAAGAATTAAAAAAAGAAATATGGTCATGACGGAGGTGGAGCTTGACAACCGATGGAAGCAGAAGTGTAATTCCTGAGCTCCCACTCCCTTAAGCTTAGCATTAGCCTCAAAGCTCAAAACGCGAACACATCCGAGCTTAAAACACACTAAGTCTCAGCAGTAGCAACCTACCATGCCAAACAGTGCCATGAGAGGTAATAAAAAAACGGAAAGACATGTAGGTAGCTAAACTATTCCGCGCCAAAGACCAGAGGCGGACATCTTTGTCCCAAGGCCTACCTGAATCAGAGTCCGACAGTGAAGGCCCCATGGACCCCACGACCCCTTTAACAATGGGCGAAGTATGGAAACTACTCAAAGAAACCTCCGCTGATATAAAGGCTCACAGCAGCCGAGCTCGAAAAAAAAAAAATGACCAGGCTGAAAGAAGAAATAGAGGCCCTCACCTCCCGTGCCGAAGCCCAAATCACAGACCTTACGCACAAAACGAAGGCCCACAATCAAATCTACACCATGCAAGACAGGATTCTGCAGCTGGAAGACCTCAATAATAGGTCACGAAGACAACATTTGTACCCGGAGCCTACCAGAAGCCATCCTCTCAAGAGTAATGGAGATCTTTCAATCTCTCCGGCCAGAGCAGGATCTTACAATCAAAAAAGAGCACATCGGGAGCTACACCCACCTACACCCAACTCCTCTGCTCCAAGGGATGTAATTGTTAAGCTGCTTCTTTTTCCTATCAAGGAAAGACTCATGATAGCCACAAGTGACCGGCCCCCTACCTTTCAAGGACAACCACTTCACTTTTTTCAGGACTTGGCATCACCCACCCTGAGAAAAAGCAGGGAACTTAAACCCCTCACAATGGCGTTCGCCCAACAGGACTGGAAATACATGGGGGGGGGGGGGACATTCCTTTAAATTAATGGTGCAGACGGATAAATCAAACTTACATACTCCATAGGCTCTCCGACATTGCAGACTTCGCAACACACATTGGAATCACCCTTCCCCACGTACCTTTGCCTGACTCTGCTGGCTCCTGGAGACCACAAAACCCCAAGCCTGGAGAAGAACCCCTGCCACCTAGTCAGCCTCAAAAGAGGCATCTGACCTTGAAAAGACTTACCCAGGTGGCTGTTCTCATCCTGACTCTAGATCAGGTTAAAGTATATTAATAACACTGAATTAGCTTGGTTTAACGCTTGTTAATATTGTTAAACCACCCAGGTCCCCACATCGTTAATCTCCAGTCCCATCACAGGACCCTACATGCACATATGTGCAATACTGAAAGGGATATTGGGGTTTGCCTCAGACGCCCGTAGTCGGACAAGAGTCCTAAACCTACACTCCTCCACCGATGTCATGCACGTAATAACCCCGAAGCTCTAGATGGCTCTTCATTTAAAGGCCATCAGATGAATTACAATCACAAATATATACACCAGGACCCCTGCAAACCTAACCCGAAATTTGACCTCACCTCTCTGTCCAGAATAAGGGCTGACAACCCCACTAACCACCTAATCCATATTACCCACAAGACTAGATCCCACCACCGGTCCCTCTGGGACCCCTGTTCTCTCAACCAAGGTGAAGAGTCACCAGGGAAGGCCTTCCTGATCTAGGTCATCTTGCGACCAGCAGGTATTGGTCTCAATAACCACACATCCTCCTGACTCCTGTACCTGGGAAGCATAACTGTATATTATCCTGTTATATACCACTCTCCACAGGCGCTAGCCTCATATAGCAAAGTAGTTATGGTCCACACTGACAGGAACTTCTTAAAAATGTACGCCCCATCCTACTTTCTCAATATCCACCCATCATGCCTCTCCGTAATGGATGGGAGACGACCCACCCAGGTGAATCCTAGACTGACCGCCTTGGACTATGTCCATACCCTTCCATTTACAAAAAAGACCCCTCCTTGGTGACAAAAGTGTAAGGTGTGAAACACTGAACCACTGCGACACGTGCCTCATCTCTGGTCAATTTAATCTTTAGGGTTAAAAATTATAATCAGGCCACACTCAGTCCTTCCATAACTTCTTTTGCCCTGCCAGCAGACTCTCACACATTGCCTCCCTAGGGCACTCGTCACATTGAAATATATTTACATGGACCAACTCTGCATACATATGCTCTAACTTCAATGCTAACTTATCGCTATGTGTACATGCAAGCTCAGGGGGGTGGGATAGGACCACAAAGTAGACTTATACCACACACATTTCTCCTATCTCTCCCCACGCACAACCTTCAGGAACAAAGGTTTCCTTTGGTCTTGATTCCTATCTTCCCACAGACCGGAATTACTTTGTCCCCACTAGACGTGGCAACTTTCATATAAGACCAGGTACCTCTTTCCATCCACACCTCACCCTATATCCCCCTTCCTATCACCTACCCTCTTCCTCCCATCTTCACCTCACCTCTGTACCCCATCCATCCCTTTTTTTAAAAAAATTTTCCCTTCCATTATTCCTTCCCCCCTTCTGTTAAAACCTCCCTCCGACCCTACCCTTAAAGCGGCACTGTCATGGCCGAAACCTGTTTTTCTTTTTAACCACCCTCCCGACTCCACTACATCTAATTAACCCCTAAGTCACCCCCAAATGTCCCTAAGGTCCCCATATTACCTATTTTTAATCTTTATTTTCTGCCCCGATCTATATTCAGGGCACCGCCATCTTTATGTGGCTAGATGAAGTCCCTGTGGGACACGTCATCTCCCACACTAGATAGCGCTGTGAGATTCCCGCACATGCTCAGTTAAACACTTGGGCATGCGAACGGGAATCTCATCTATTCATTCATTCGTCAGAAAGACGAATGAATGAATGGAAATATCAGACGAACAAACAAACACTGAATATCAATGTTCGTTTGTTCGTTCAGTTTATTACAAGGAGGGAGCTACTGGCACGCAGCTCCCTCATTGTAAAATGTAAAGACAGAAGCGTCAGGGAGCTGTGCTACCCGCCACTTCCTGAGCCCCCCCATGTCCTCCCTCACTCTATGGGGGTCAATATGACCCCCATAATATCATAAGGGAGATTAAAATCTCCTGAATGCCCCTACTCGCTATACCGTAAGGGCATGTCTACTAAACAGTGAGCAGCCTGCTCACTGTTTTAAAAAAAAAAAAAAAACCCTACTATGCAGCCCCCACCCCTGGGCAGCGGGTGAGGGCCCTAAAGATAATGAGGAGGGACCTACTGTCCTCCCCCCTCCCGGCCCCCACCACTGGGCGGCGGGTGGGGCCCTAAGACAAATCTGCCCACCACCCCCCATCAAAGGTGACTAGGGGTCCCAAATAAAAATTTACCCCCTACCTACCACCCTCATCCTAAAAAATAGTGAGGGGGGAATAAAATAACTAACCTGTAAAGAAAAATGTAACTTACCATTTGACGTCTTTTTTCTAAAATCTTCATTTTTCAGCCCCCAAAAAAGGCCAAATAAAAACCATCATACCCGTCGAAATTAAAATAAAAAAAACCTGAGTGCAAAAAAAAAAAAAGACAAAACAGACAAAACCAGAGCACAAAAATGATAATACTTCTTCACCCATGGAGGGCTCCACGCAGACTGAGCTCTGCAGCTCTTCCAAAGAACTTTCCCACGCTGTGTAAAATTACACAGAGCACACTGATTGAGTGGCTTGAAATCCATCCCCCCCATGACAGTAGGTTCCCGTAAGCACGACCACCCCTTCCCCCCACGTCCCCGGCGATTTTCACATCAATAAGACTATGGGATAAAATAGCGGTTAAATGCAAACGAACATCCAATCCCTCACAACTCGGACCTCTCCAATTCTATGGAACACAATTTGCCCCTGGCATGCACCCTAAAGACTTTGTGCACTTCAAAGACAACGATCTAGCTAGATTCTACCACTTCTTTGCTAACCACCAAATAATCCCCTTAACGGATCTCCCACGACCCAGACTGCTGACAACTGACTTTTTCGCCACATTCAGATTAAGAGCTTCCTCAGCACCCCCACAAATAAAATATAAGCACAACCCCCTTAACGACATTTGTAAGAACTTGTATGCATCACCCCACCCAAAAGGGTCCAATATCAACATTCTATACACTCACTATTCACAGGACAGCACCATATCCTACATGTTGGCTTGGGAAAGGGATCTGGGACCTATTGGAGACCCCAAAGACTGGCTAGCCATTTGGAAAGCCACTGCTAAGGTTACTGTCTGCGTGAATCACAAGGAACAGGCATACAAAACGCTAATGAGGTGGTATGTCACCCCCCTGCGGTTAAAACAAACGGAGAGGACAGATTAAGATCGATGCTGGAAATGAAGCAGGAACAAAGGAACCTATATCCACCTCTGGTGGTAATGAGAACACATTGCACAAATCTGGCGTCAAGTATCACAAATGACTTCTCAAGTCTTGCACTCCGACATTCCACTCAACCCATGGAATACCCCACAGGCCCAAAACAAACTCATTACCAAAATTGCTCTACCCACAAGACGAGAGATAGATGAAAAGTTGGGCAGCCCAGACATCCTAAATCTGGAAACAATCAAGCATAAAATAAACGATGCCAGAAAGATGGACAGTCTTTCCGCACTTATACATGACTCCATGAAACATCATAAGATCTGGCAACCTTGGCTATTCCCTTTAGTGCCCTAAATTGTTCTCTCAGGGGACTCCGGACAAGAACTGGCCATGGAGAGGCTCACAACCGACTTCCTGGCCCTTCCCCCGACTTTTTCTCCACATGGCCTTCTCATCCCATACCCATATCCCCCCTCCCCCCTATTTAATTTTTTAAAATTTATTTTATTTTCTCCTACCTAACCCCCCTACCACACCTCCTCCTGCATCCTTTATATCTCATCTCTATTCTGGCTTTCTTGATATCCTTCCATCCCTATCAAACATAACGAGAGGGTAGGCCACCTCTGGTTACCTCACTAATATTTATGGGTTCACTTCACCATGTTAACAACGCTCTCTAACCTTCGGGGTTATGTACCATACCAGGTACAGAGGTGAGGTGAAGATGGGAGGAAGAGGGTAGGGGATAGGAAGGGGGGATATAGGGTGAGGTGTGGATGGAAAAAGAAACCTGGTCTTATATGAAAGTTGCCAGGTCTAGTGGGGACAGAGTAATTCCGGTCTGTGGGAAGATAGGAATCAAGACCAAAGGAAACCTTTGTTCCTGAAGGTTGTGCGTGGGGAGAGATAGGAGAAGTGTGTGTGTGTGTGTGTGTGTGGTCTACTTTGTGGTCCTTACCCACCCCCCTGAGCTTGTATGTACACATAACATAGTGACTGCCGCACCCCCTGGGCTTGCAATAAAAATGAAAAGATGACAATCCTTAAGACTTCTCTTTCTGCTCACTCAAAAGCCTTACATTTTGCAAAACTAGAGATCTCTTCTCCACTGCATAGAACATAGGCATATCACCTCTCTGTTACACAGGTTACAATATTCAGCACCCTATTAAGAAGAGGACGTAATATGGAGTGTATAAATGCTTACTGTTGTACTTTAATTGTACAAACTGTGACTGAAACCCCTAACGTTTCTTCTTTATTTTGTAATCCCTCCCCTGTTTATCAAACTCTGAAAAACGTATATAAAAAAAAAAAAAACCCAATCACAAAATGTGACTTTTTGTTAGCCTGACAACACACATGGTAAATAATCAGGTCAGAGAGAAGCATCATAAGGGTGCAGTGAGTTCCGTAATAAAAATAATTTAACAAAAATAGAGTGTTTACTTGTATACTTTTATGTATATACTTACTTAGCTTAGAACCACCCTATACTGTGGAGCAAGCTACAAAAGTTACTGTGAAATTGCACTACATAACCTGGAAGAAACAAAACTCACAATGCTTTTCTACTAAACAGTCCAGAACTCAAAACACACCCCCCCCCCCACAAAAAAACCCAAAGACATTTGTCTATGAATTTGATCTGTCCAACCTCTAATCTCTGATATTAAACAGATGTGAAAATAAGACTCTGCAACATTTTCTTTTGCTTAGCTAAACTCCCATAGTTTTTAACTCCTTTAAAAGGGGTTATTGCTTATCCCTTAATACCATACCTGTCCTAATGTAATTTGCAAGAAAGTGGTTAAAATTTAATTTTATCTGAATTTTGGCCGATTGTAGCTACGGAATTCAAACTGCCTGCCAAAGTGTAATATGGACACATCACAAAACAAATGACAAGGACAGTTTTCTTGATTCATAATTCAGAGTTATGTCTGTGGTGTTAAGAGACAGCCAAGGGAGGGGGGAGACAAAGGAATGTCTAGTGTAAGAAACAGATTTGTATTCCTTAATACTATAGTATCTCTTTAAGTGTTTGATCTGGCTAAACTCTTAAAATACGCAACCAAATGCTCAAAATCACAAATCAATGTGGACTGAATTTGAATGGGAAAATACCAGTCTGTTTGGTTGGAATTTGTAGCTTAATTAGAAGGGCATGAATATGAGCCCATCACTTGACTCCTAAATATACAGTAAAGTGATGTGTCCAAATAATTTTCACAGGATTGTTTGCATTGTCGAAATGCGGCCTAGACAACATTCGGTCAACAGAATTTTTTTATTTTATTTATTTTTTGGCTGATTCTAAATTTTTATCACCATGTGTAATTCTAGTTAAAACTGCTAAGTAATTTGCAGCCCTCCAGAAGACGGGCTTTCCGCTTAATGAATGAAGACCATCACATTACTCAAAGATGGAGGAGTCTGCATTACTGCTGTAGTAGTTTACAATATTAGAGACGGTCAAACGCCCTTCATCCACTGCAGGTCACTGGCTGACAAGGAATGATGTGTGTCCTGGTATAACATTCTAAGACAGGGGTTCCCAACCTGTGGTACGCATACCCTCAGGGGTACAATTCAGCTCCCCTGTGAGTATGCGAAAAATATTGTGCAATGGTGGAATTTACTTCCGCAGGGCTGATTCAGGGCATGTACCCGATGTGCACGACATGATGAAAGTCAGATGGAGACATAAATGTTCCATCTAGTGTTATGCTGCCGTATTCACGGCTTGCCAACTACTCGCGATGTAGCCCCGTCCCCTATTTGCATGACTTTGCCACCTCGTCAAGTGGCTCTGCCCCGGTCTCACGTGAAGACAGAGGAGATCTCCACATGGTGGGATCCCAGAAAGGTAAGGGATCTCCCACACTGTCACTGATCCAAACTGTCATACTGCCCCCTCCACCACAATGTCACGGTCATACTGTCCCCTGCCAACACACACACTGAAACACTGCCCCCTCCACCACAATGTCACGGTCATACTGTCCCCTGCCAACACACACTGAAACACTGCCCCCTCCACCACAATGTCACAGTCACACTGCCCCCTCCCAACACACACTGTCACACAGCCCCTCCACCACAATATCACTGTCCCACACTGCCCCACAATGTCACTGCTTCAAGTGGTAACACTGCCACCTCCCACGAGGATCAGGAAAGTCTGGGATATGAGGAGGTAAAAGGACGAGGAGCAGGGGGAGGAGCCTTGGACAGACAAAGGAGGCGCAGGGGGAAGAGCCATGGGCAAAGGAGGCGCAGGGGGAAGAGCCATGGGCAAAGGAGGCGCAGGGGGAGGAGCCATGGGCAAAGGAGGCGCAGGGGGAGGAGCCATGGGCAAAGGAGGCGCAGGGGGAGGAGCCAAGGCAAAGGGAGGCGAGGGGAAGAGCCTGAAGGGCAAAGGAGGCGAGGGGAAGAGCCTGGGCGGGCAAAGGAGAGGCTACAGGGGAGGAGCCAAGGGCAAAGGAGGCGCAGGGGGGAGTGGAGCCATGGGCAAAGGAGGCGCAGGGGGAGGAGCCATGGGCAAAGGAGGCGCAGGGGGAGGAGCCATGGGCAAATGAGGCGCAGGGGGAGGAGCCATGGGCAAATGAGGCGCAGGGGGAGGAGCCATGGGCAAATGAGGCGCAGGGGGAGGAGCCTTGGGCAAATGAGGCGCAGGGGAGGAGCCTTGGGCAAATGAGGCGCAGGGGAGGAGCCTTGGGCAAATGAGGCGCAGGGGAGGAGCCTTGGGCAAATGAGGCGCAGGGGAGGAGCCTTGGGCAAATGAGGCGCAGGGGGAGGAGCCTTGGGCAAATGAGGCGCAGGGGGAGGAGCCTTGGGCAAATGAGGCGCAGGGGGAGGAGCCTTGGGCAAATGAGGCGCAGGGGAGAGCATTGGGCAGAGGAAGAGAAGGGGAGAGCATTGGGCTGAGGAGGAGCAGGGAGAGCATTGGGCAGAGGAGGAGCAGGGAGAGCACTGGGCAGAGGAGGAGCAGGGAGAGCACTGGGCAGAGGAGGAGCAGGGAGAGCCTGGGGTATGAGATGAAGGGAAATTCAGTGCAGAGCCAGTGCAGGGACAGCCTGGGGGCAAAGGAGGAGGAATAGAGAGAGCCTTGGGCAGAGGAAGAAGGATTAGGGAGAGTCAGGGGTATGAGAAGGAGCAGTGAGAGCCTGTGGAATGAGGAGCAACAGGGACAACAGAGAGAGTCTGTGGTATGAGGAGGAGCAGGGAAAGACTAGTGCAGAGGACGTGCAGGGGAGCCAGGGGCAGAAGAAAGAAGCAGGGAGAGCCCGGAGCAGTGGAGGAGCAGACAGAAAAATTTATACATTTGAAAAAACTGCAACTATATTAAAAACAAACTGTGAATAAGAGTGGTACAATTTGTGGAAATTGACTGCCATGGGGTATTGATGGTTGGGGCCCACTTATCTAGGGGACTATAGTCTGACACAAGTATTATGGGTCAACATCAGCTGGCATGTTCTATGAAAACTAGATGAAGGTCAAAACTGTGTAGGTAAAGAGCTTTTCCCCAACCGTGATAATTCAGCCTTAAAATTTACAATTCCCTTGTCACCTCTCAGAACTTGTGCCAGAATTGACAAATTAGTGAAAATTTTCACGTGTGATGTGACAATTCTGACATTCATCCAAATCACTGCCTACAGCTATCAGGCAATGATTGGAGTTGTAGTCTTAAAACTGGAAAGCAGCAGCTGACACCCTTAATGTATTGTGGAATAAAGTAACCCTTTAACCAGTAAGATGTAGCGCCATTTGCATTTCTGTTATGCTGTCTATGGTTTCTGTTGCATGCTAGGCATATTTTACCTTCTTGCGGAATTCCATACAAATGCTCAGTGGGAGAGAGTTGGGTGAAGAGGAGTGTGAAGAGGTGGCCTTCTCTGAAATGCTCACACACGAAATGGCAATGCAAGCCATATGTGCAATGCGTGAGCGATTCAGAGTTTGAATGTGTTGCAACACAAAATGTCTTTGTATTGTGAGGAATGTATTATAACCCTGACCAGGACTTTATTAGAAGAAGAGATTTTAAATGTCACACAGTGATCTATAAAACTTAGAAAGCCTATGCAATACTTCAGAGCATCAGATGTACAAAGTGTTGCATTATTCTTAAAGGCGTTTAGTAAGATTAACATATCTCTTCCAGAAAATGACAGATTAAAGGACCACTATAGTGCCAGGAAAACATACTCGTTTTCCTGGCACTATAGTGCCCTGAGGGTGCCCCCACCCTCAGGGACCCCCTCCCGCCCAGCTCTGGAAAGGGGAAAGGGGTAATAACTTACCTTTTCCAGCGCTGGGCGGAGAGCTCCTCCTCCCCTCCCCGCTGGCTGAATGCGCACGCGCGGCAAGAGCTGCGCGCGCATTCAGCCCGTCGCATAGGAAAGCATTTACAATGCTTTCCTATGGACGCTGCGTGCTCTCACTGTGAAAATCACAGTGAGAAGCACGCAAGCGCCTCTAGTGGCTGTCAATGAGACAGCCACTAGAGGATTAGGGGGAAGGCTTAACCCATTCATAATTATAGCAGTTTCTCTGAAACTGCTATAATTATGAAGAAATGGGTTAACCCTAGAAGGACCTGGCACCCAGACCACTTCATTAAGCTGAAGTGGTCTGGGTGCCTAGAGTGGTCCTTTAATAAAGGAACATTTTCAGCTTGAATAAGGAAATGCATATGAAGAAAACCTGGAGTGGCTTCACATGATAAAACACGGTAAGCATTGAAGCAATTATAAATTCACATGAAGATTTTTACATTTAGCAATTTAAAGGAACAAAAATGTATATTCCTGACACTATAGTGTTAAAACACTATTTAGGTCCCTGTCCCCCTCTCACCCATAGCCTTCTTAACCCCTTAAGGACACATGACATGTGTGACATGTCATGATTCCCTTTTATTCCAGAGGTTTGGTCCTTAAGGGGTTAAAGTAGTTAAAACTTACCTTTATTCCCTGCCCTGATCCGCCTCCTTAACTGACATAATCAGAATTGATTAGGTCAGCCTCCTATGGAAAACAATGGATTGGCTGAGATCATCAATTCTGATCTCAGCCAAGGAGGCAGAGTCAAACACCTCCCTGGCCAATAAGCATCTCCTCATAGGAGATGCACTGAATCAATCCGACAGCCACTAGAGGCACTCCCTGCTTGCTAAGCGACTTTAGTCACTAAACTGACACTGGACGTCCTCATGCTCTGCAGCAAGACTTTGCTATGGGGAGGGCCTAATGTCTCTGAAAAAACAGTGTTTACATTAAAATGCCTGCAGAGCCAGGATATAGACACTAGAAAAACTACATGAATCTGCAGTTGTTCTGGTCACTATAGTGTCCCTTTAAGCGTACAGTTTTTAAAAGGTTTGACTTTGTACCTGGGGTCTGCCAGGAGCAGCTTCCTCTTTCATTACCAACACTTGAGAGCTGGAAATTCCTGACCCTTTCAGTTGGCTCACTCCACTTTGGTTTGCTGATGATGCTTGGAGTGTTCCTTAAAATCTTGTTGCTGCCTTTGCAATGTAAAAAAAAAAGAAGATACACTTGGTTTTATACTTCCTGCCTTCTTACAATTGGCCAGGGGAAGAAACCAGCCATATGTGTGCCACAACCAAAGCAACAGACTGGGAGTGAAATTGTTCTGCTACAGCAGTAATTCTGGTTATGAAATAATTACAGGGTAATTAAAGTAGATTTTTTTTTCTTTAAATCTGATAATCCAATTTAAATTTTATATTTTAAATTATCTGATCCCACCCATAGAACAGAAGACTAAAGGGTATATGGTCAGGGCAAGCCAGCCACAAATAAGACATTTTGCCATTTGCCATCTTTGCCTACTGTGCTTGCGATGTGCTTGCGATGTGTCTTAATAGGATAATGGATCCCTGGCTGAACAAGGGGACAATGGCTCTGATATTCAGGAACCTCAAACTAAATATGACAAAGTCTACAGGTCTCTAAGCCAATGGTTCCTATACGCCTGGCTGGAGCTGACCAAACAAGTCCTCAAACCGACGTCCATAAAGCACTAATTCCCCATAGATAAGACTGCACCAAATAGGGCACCTCTTGTGGTGAAAGCCTGCTACAGAGTTTTGAGCGCACCTTATTAAATAAGATTACAAATATAAAATATTCATTCTTGTTTTTTTTGTAGCTAAAACCATACTTGCAATATTTAAATTAGGGGATAATGGCTCATATTTGGACCCCAAATAAATACCTAATTAACCAACCATGTCACTGTTAGGGTCCTTACAGATTTTGCAAAACTCCCAGAGGAGTCATGCCTGCCCAGAGTGCATGGGGCCTCAGGAAGAAGCTAATGAAGATATACTTACCCAAGATTCATGGACACTGCCATTTTTCAGTTTGGTTCGGTCTTCAGCCCCTGCCACTTCCCCCTCCAGGAGCGTGAGTCACGGATGTACTCTCTCTTTTAATGAAACTACAATACGGTCAGCATAAGTATTTCCAAGAGATTTTATGTCAAAAAGGGACTGGGATGATTTAATGAAGAGATTTGTGCACCAGACATCACAGACCTGGCATCGAGGAAAGTTACATTTTTACAAGCAGATGTAGCCAGGATTTGACACTTTGAACACAGCAGATGCCAAGATGCAACAGAACAAACTGCTCTATTCCTACAGACAAAAGGGTTTGAAAATGACCCGATCACCACTAGCTGTATTATAATAATGAATTTGTCTTTTTACTGCTTGCATCATGGAAAGATAGGGGGCCTGCTGCCTTTGTCCTTGACAGATATCACAGAAATGTGTGGTCTGCCTCAATAAGCAGGATACAGCTATACCTCTATTTTGTGTTCTCTGCAAGTTAACTACTCCAATCTTTACATGATCCTATAAGTAATTGCGTGGAAAGAGCCATCAGAAAATGTTAAGAAGAAAACAGTAATGAATGTGTTAATTTTGTGCCAGTTTTAAACAAATCAATAGATTCACAATAATATAATAACTCACAATAGCAAATAGAAAGGCCAGCTACTCTGAAATATTGCAATTCAGTTAGTAAGGCAGTCATTCAGATTGCATTCAACGGACACTAAGGTCAAAACCCCTAATTTATATTTTTAAAATCTGCTATTGTTCAGAAATATTTGCATTTTGTCTAGAACACTCCTCTAGTGGCTTTCAGTAGATTTCAGGATATCTTCACATTAGGCTTCATCACACACGCACAGTAACTCCAAATGTATATAATGCTTCACTATGAGAAGCATTTAATTCAGAGCGGTTACTGAGTAGCATTGGAAGGTATTCTATAACGAAAGGTCACCAAGCCAACACGACATAACCAATTAAACACCAGGACTCAAATTATGTAACAAGATTGTTCCCCCTGGAAAGACAAAAAGACGAAGGATTGGGAGGAAACTAGACAAAGATGATGTGTAATTTGAGATACGGTTTATATCAATAGAATTACTTTTCTAAAACTGTAGAAGATAGACAACATTAATACAGAAATCTTGCTATGAATTTTCTAAGAAATTGGGTTAAACACTTAATCATTTAGTATGGGAGAAATAACAAGCATTGAAGTAATGGAAATCCCATGTGTGATGCTGTCTGGTCCAGGTCTCTCATGGGAGGCTGTATGTTTGGGAACGTCTGCTGTCTCGAAGGGATTCAGTGGGAAATAGACATTGGCATACCAGGTGCAGTAACTTCTTAAAGGGACACTCCAGAGACGCGTAAAATACTTTAGCTAGCTGAAGTGCGTTTTGTGTGATAAATGTGTCCTCTTCTAGTAATTTTATAAATAGTGCAGATTTAAACTGAAATTGACACTTTATAAATTAACCTCATTACACCTCTCTGAATGTCAAGCAGACACCAGGTTCTATTACTTCCTGGTAATTAAACTCAGTGGTGCTAAATTCAAAATGCGACAACTGCCCAGAACACCTTGCAAGACTTCACATTCAGTTGCATTGGAAAGTCAGTGGTTGTACATCCACAGTAAGTCTGGCCTGGGGAAGAAAGGAAGAGCTTGCAATGGCTGTAGACAAGAGATCTGCAACTTTTGCAAACTGTTTTTAGATGTACTGCAATGAAAAAAATTGCATAAATAAATGCATGCATGTTTTAATTAGGGTATGTATATTAGACAGGGATTCATCTTTATTTGGGCAGTGGAGTACTACTATATCAATTAATCTATACATCCTTAACCTGCATAATTTGTGGAATATTTTGATTTCAGAATTACAAGTTACAGCATTTGAGTTTGAACAATGGCAATACTAGCTTAGTCCGCAAGTGTCACCTTTAAAGGGTGAATTCAAGCGGTTTAGGTTTATAAACACAGAGGTAATGGCACTGCCCACTTCTAAAGAAATGTAAACACTTCTGTGAAAAGAATAAAAGATTGAAAATCACCTGTAATGTCTGTTAACCTTTTACATGTTATGCTTTGTATTTATTTAAAACAATTCCGTTCTTACCTGGTACAACCAGGGCATACATTGCATTGGAAGTGAGGAAAAGCCAAAAAGCAATGTTTCTCTACTCTTGCATATTGATCGATTCAAGGCAGCATATAGAGAACCTTTGAATTGACCATTTAGATAGCTCAGAGCACATTCGCAATCTGAGCCAGCGAGGGAGTGGGAAGGAGACAGGTAGGGAGGAGGCAGCTTTAAAAATAAATAACAAAAATACTGCAGGGCATAGAGAGGCAGGGATGGTAAAGTAAAGGAACGGTAGACACATGATTCGCCTTGTAGGCTCTGTCTGCAAAAAGACACACAGAACGTCTGTTGGGACCTCCTTAAACCATAGCTAATTCAAACTAATTTCTTAAGGTGCCAGGGTGGTCCTTTAATTTCTTTAGTAATGAAATTGTCCATTAAGGGTCCTTTACAAGTTAAAGGAACACTATAGGGTCATGAACATGTATTCCTGACCCTTTAGTGTTAAAAACACCATCTAGCCCCCCTCCTGCCCCCTCCCTAAATATAGTATCTTACCTTTACTCCAGCCTGCTGCTGCTGGCTCTGCTCCTGATCAGCCTGCTTGGTTGACATCAGAATCTGTGATCTGAGCCAATCACAATGCTTTCACATAGGAAAGCATTGGATTGGCACGAGCTTATCAAGGAGACAGATCAGGGGCAGAGCCAGCACAAGCCAAACACAGCCCAGGCCAATCAGCATCTCCTCATAGAGAAGCAATAAGTCAATGAGGAAAGTTCAGTGTCTCCATGCAGCATTTTGGAGACACCGAATGGCACTGCTGCACAGTGTGCAGCGATGACCCACGAAGCAGCTCTAGTATCCATCCGAGTGGCCAGTGGAATTATCCCTAGGCTGAAAAAAAAGTTTTTATGGCAAAAAGCCTGAAGGGAAGGATTATAATCACCAGAACAAATACTATAAGCTGTAGTTGTTCTGGTGACTATTGTGTTCCTTTAAGATATATCCTATTAAAATGTAGAATATACCAACAAACGTCCTCCACCTGAATTTTCCAAACATGTTTTATAACAGGCTACAGTAAAAAAGAAGACATGATTAAGACCACTAGGATGAAACACTGCATGTGTGACCCCATCTAATAATAACTCTCTACATTTGATTTGCGCCTATTTTGTTTCCTGTGTATCCCTTGTCCATGGACAGTGGGTCCTTACATAGTGCTTTGGTGGCTGGTAGAACTTCTCATGCCCAGCTTCCTATGTTTAACACACACACTTTATTTCATAAATGAAATATACAATATGTTTGGCTGACTCATTAATAGGCAGAAATGGTAAAGCCTATGAGTCCACACCGACCTGGGAGTACAAAGTACAGGTTTTAAGTTACTACAAAACTACTCCTCTAACATTAATATACCACGTTAAAGGGACACTAGTCACCCAGACCACTTCAGCTCAATGAAGTGGTCTGGGTACCAGGTCCCCCAGGTTTTAACCCTTTAGATGTAAACATAGCAGTTTCAAAGAAACTGCTATGTTTACATAGCAGGGTTAATTCAGCCTCTAATGGCTGTCTTCTTGCTAGAGGCGCTTCTGCGACGCTGGATGCGAAATTCGCATCCAGCGTGCAGAACGTCCATAGGAAAGCATTGAGAATGCGCGTGCGGCTCTTGCCACGCATGCGCATTCCACTACACTCGGGGGCTGATGTCGGCAGGGGAGGAGAGGTGCCCGGAGCTGGATTAAGGTAAAGTTGCTGAAGGGGTTTTAACCCCTTCAGCGCCACGGGAGGGGGGACACTGAGGGTGAGTGCCCCCAAGGATGACAGTGTCAGGAAAACAGGTTTGTTTTCCTGGCACTATAGTGATCCTTTAATGTAACTTTTGAAAGCAATGATTCATACTTTTTTTTTTCTTCTTGCTTTCTTCAAGATGTCAATGACTGAGCCTCTGACTGGAGTCTATGCTGTTGGCTTGGTTATTGCACAACTGTGGGTTCAATGCTGAACCTAGCTGTTAGAGAAAGGGCATTAGGGATACACAGATTTGCCAGTTAAAACACTCACCTGATCCTGACTGTCCTGTCTCAATAGATCTGAGAAAAAAGTGCCCAACCTGCATTTTGCTTAAAAATACTTAATGGTGTATTATAGTGTTAGGGATACATATATTGTGCCTGGAGTCGTCATCATTGTAAGGAGTCAAGCCATTTTAGAATAGTTTGACTTTTTATTTGGGGGTCTAAGTGCCACTTCCTGCCTCCACTACTCAATATGGAGGGCCCGCAGCTCCTAAGCAGGAACTCCCGTTAGCAGTCATGAGGTAAGCCCTGCAATGGCGGACTAGCTCATTGGCCAAGACCATCAGCTAATGAGGAATGCCCTGTATTAAAGACATAGTTCAAACAGGGAGCTTTTGGCATCCATCATCAGTAATAAAGATGGAAAGCGGCACCCACCAGACCCAAAGTAGGAAGTCAAATTGTTGGGGGGAAAAAAACTTTGAATCTGAACACTGGTGTAATCACTCCTACCACTAGAACAAGCTTTAGTTGTTATGGTGGTTCTTCCTTCAAGCACCTTAACCAAAATAAAAAATTAACACGCACGAATTAGCACATATTCTACAACAAATCAGCAGTCTCAGACCAGTTTTATCATGCGAGTAATAATTCCCATAATCTCTCTCATGACAACAATTCTTAGACACATTATGTAAATAGGAATCCAACTGATCTCAACTACTGTCCAGTTTATACAAATTGTTGTAAGCAAAGAAATTTACAGCAAGCTATAATTCATATGCTAAGACAGAGGTAGTCAACCTTTTAATACCTACCTCCCACTTTTGTATCTTTGTTGATGGTAAAATTTCCTTACTGCCCACCAGTGCCGCAAGAAACTAATTTTATAGCACAAGTGCGATATTTATTTATTTTTTAGAAAGGAGTTTTTTTTTTCCTTTTTAATATGTGTGTCTGTGAGGTGGTGTGTGTGTGTGTGAAGGGTGCTCTGTGTTTATGAAGAGATGCTGTGGGTGAGCGGAAAGGCTGTGTGTGTGTAGGGTGCATAGGGTCTTTGCTGTGTGTTGGTGGGTGAGATGTGAAAAATCTATCTTAAAGGACCACTCTAGGCACCCAGACCACTTCAGCTTAATGAAGTGGTCTGGGTGCCAGGTCCAGCTAGGGTTAACCCATTTTTTAATAAACATAGCAGTTTCAGAGAAACTGCTATGTTTATTAATGGGTTAAGCCTTCCCCCTAATCCTCTAGTGGCTGTCTCATTGACAGCCACTAGAGGCGCTTGCGTGCTTCTCACCGTGATTTTCACAGTGAGAGCACGCCAGCGTCCATAGGAAAGCATTGTAAATGCTTTCCTATGCGACCGGCTGAATGCGCACGCAGCTCTTGCCGCGCGTGCGCATTTAGCCGACGGGGCGGAACGGAGGAGGAGAGAATGAGGAGAGCTCTCCGTCCAGCGCTGGAAAAAGATAAGTTTAAACCCCTTTCCCCCTTCCAGAGCCGGGCGGGAGGGGGACCCTGAGGGTGGGGGCACCCTCAGGGCACTATAGTGGTCCTTTAATGTCTCCACCTCCTTTCTTCTTACTGTGGGGGGGGAGGGAGGACAAAATGCTGCAAGCCCTGGTGGTCCAATGGTGGCATTTTCATTTTAGCCTGCAGCTCGTCTAGCTGCAGGCTAACCCTCATGTTCTCCTGCAAACACAGCACTGTATTGTAATGTGTGGCAACGCTCCAACACAAAGCCTCCCAGGCCCTTCCCTCCCTCTGCTGGAACTAAGTGCCAGCGGAATGGTAAGGGAGATCTTACCAGCCCGAGAGGGCTTACAGCAAAGCTGGCTCTGAATGGGCCTGCAGGGGAGATGAAAGGATCTCCCCTGTCGGTCTTGGTCCATGGCCATCGAGGCCAACTGGGCGTTTTCTGCAGAACCCACCACTGCCCACTTGAAATCCCAAACCGCCCACTAGTGGGTCGCTACGTTGACTATCACTGTGCTAAGAAATCACATATAACCCTTACAGTTCCATCTGACAAAGTACAAATGCAAAGCTGTTAGTTATACAATAAGTGGTTAATGTTAGCATTATCAATGCATGCTACTGATCGTGCAGGTCTCAGATTTACAGCAGCTGCTGTAGAGCATTCTGCAATAGGAGACAATATCCCCCTCCCTGCAAAATAATTATTATCGTCACTATTGTTGAAAACAAAGTGGTCTCAAGAAGTGCTTTTTTTTCCTCGGGTTTCCAGATCCAGCATATTTTCTGGAGACTCATAATTTCTTCATGTTTATGGACACGTGAAAAGTGTCCTACAGTTTGCAGAATACAACGGCTACAGGAAGAAAATTGTTAATCAAGGCAGTACATTTGTGATTATTCCTCAATTAACTGGACTTCTCTTCAATAGCATTTGTGTAAAAAAAAAAAAAAAAATACAAATCAAGCAGTTGGCCAACCAAATGTAATGCTTAGAGAAATAATGGTTTTGTTTTAGGGCGCAATTTGATTCTTCATGAAGAGGAATAAGTATGTCGAGACTATGGTTGCTTTAATAAGTTCTTGCATGCTGCCACGGATTAAAGGGATTGCAATAAACATGCAGTCATCAGACCCACCGTTAACCACTTCCTTGCTCGTCTGAGCTATATAGCCCTCCGAACAAAATCAGAATCATTGTCAACGGCCTTCTTGGCTTAGGGTTTGTTTCTGTGACTGACCCACAAGATCCCTGGTTTATGCTGATCCTGTGATTTCACTTAACTGGCAATCTCTACTTGATGTGGGTTTTCAGTAAAAGTCCTTTGTACAGCCTCCATGAGAGAAATGCATGTTGCACGCAAACTACACTAACCAGACAACACGTATAAGGAGGATGTTTACAAGTAAAAGCCCTGATGTAGAGTCTAGAGTAATTATTGTATACCAAATTTTATGGGAAAGTTACTCCACAACAGCTAAAGAGCAAAGTGTTACGGTTTATCATTTCTCTAGACTACAGCAGGGCTGTCAAACATACAGCAGCGGCCCACATAGCCCTTTAAGACACACCGGACCAGATCCCTGACACAGACACACACTGCATCCCCAGCACATACTCAGACACTATTCACTACACCTTAGCCCGCAGCATGCCAGGAGGAAGCGAGTTTAGTTCACTTCCTCCCAGCTTGCCGAGAGCGCACACACAGGTGCAAAACCTGGAACCTCCTACTCCCATCAGCCTTGGCCAGCCACCTCCCACTGGACCCCAGTAAAGCAACCCTCCTGCATCCAATGTTAAGGAAAAAGGAAGATGGTTAATACTATGTTAATTGTACCTGTGTGCATGTATCTATATATGTACACGTGTCCCTGGGAGGTGGGGGGCATGTGTGTCAGTATGCTTGTCTGCGAGTGTAGCAGGGGATATATTCCAGCAAACGCCAACAACACACACACACACACACACACACACACACACACAAATATGCCACTGCATTCAAACACAGCCCTGCATTCAAGTGCCAACACAACATAAAAATACCAATCAAAGGTTGCCTCTGTTTACAGAGGAGTGTGTATAACAAAAGTGCACAAAAAAAAAGAGTCAAAAAGTGATTTACAGGCAGCTCAATACACTAGTGTGGAAATATCCTCTATTCCACTGAATAAATTTAGTAGATATTGGTGCGGTGTAAGTGACAAGGACCTACACCTATAAGTGGAGCGCTCAAACACAGATAAATCTTACCAAAACGTAGTCTCATTCAATGGTAAAATATGGGGTACATGTCAAAATAAAATACAGAAAATACAATATAGTGTAGATGGTACTAAAAAATGGCTTCACAGTGATTATAATAATATTGTGTTGAATATTACACTCACATTTCAAGGAGCCTGTATATAGAAAACACTGGCTCCGTATAAAGGCTTGTGTGCTGTTATGGTAGCACCACCCTCCTACTTCGGCTTGAAGAATTTCTCGAGAACACGAAAAAAAGAGAAGAAAGCAAACCGATGTGTAGACTTCTGGTGATAAATGACAGATATGTGTTCAATAAATGGGGTGCTCACCTGGTCCTGAGCCTACGAATCCCGGCTCTAGGTATGTGGATTTTGTGCCAATTTGAATGGGGATGGCACTACCCCTGTGAGGATTCCTTGGAGGCTCCAAAAAGAACTTGGATGAGGTATTAAATGAAAATGGTAAATTTATTACTTTAAAATAAACATAAAAACAAAGATGATAAAAGTCCTCAAATAAAAGTCCTTTAAAAATGGCCAATACGCGTTTCACTCTCAAATAGAGCTTCTTCAATCCTGGAGGATTCAGAGGACCAACATTACAGCTGACTGAAGAAGCTCTATTTGAGAGTGAAACGCGTATTGGCCATTTTTAAAGGACTTTTATTTGAGGACTTTTATCATCTTTGTTTTTATGTTTATTTTAAAGTAATAAATTTACCATTTTCATTTAATACCTCATCCAAGTTCTTTTTGGAGCCTCCAAGGAATCCTCACAGGGGTAGTGCCATCCCCATTCAAATTGGCACAAAATCCACATACCTAGAGCCGGGATTCGTAGGCTCAGGACCAGGTGAGCACCCCATTTATTGAACACATATCTGTGTCATTTATCACCAGAAGTCTACACATCGGTTTGCTTTCTTCTCTTTTTTCGTGTTCTCGAGAAATTCTTCAAGCCGAAGTAGGAGGGTGGTGCTACCATAACAGCACACAAGCCTTTATACGGAGCCAGTGTTTTCTATATACAGGCTCCTTGAAATGTGAGTGTAATATTCAACACAATATTATTATAATCACTGTGAAGCCATTTTTTAGTACCATCTACACTATATTGTATTTTCTGTATTTTATTTTGACATGTACCCCATATTTTACCATTGAATGAGACTACGTTTTGGTAAGATTTATCTGTGTTTGAGCGCTCCACTTATAGGTGTAGGTCCTTGTCACTTACACCGCACCAATATCTACAACATAAAAATACCCTGCAACCTACAGACAAACACATCCCTGCATTCAAATGCACACACAAACAGTCCTGCATTTGCCAATACTGTGCACAGATACACCCTTGCATTTCAGTATCAACACTAAACACAAACACAGTCCTGCATTCAAACTAATAGTACATAAAAACAAGTGCATTCAAATGCCAACACTGCACACAAATACACATTTTTTATTGTTGTAATATACATTTATGACATCACATTTAATTGTTCTTTGTACCTGCTTTTTCCTTGTTTGTGCATATGTGTATATATAAAAATGTTATGCATTTGGCCCTCCACAACTATTACAGAGGACAATTTGGCCCTCCAAAATAAATGGGTTTGACATCCCTGCTCTTACTGTAAGGGTTTGCTCATGATGCCTTTGTACACTCACTGGCAGTTATTTGGTAGATCTACAGTCACTGAACTGTAATACTGCATATGTATTCAAATGCAGTCTGTTACTCATAAGAGTTGCAAATACTAGAAGTCAAAGTTTACCCATTGCTTCCCTAGAATTAAAGCCATACAGTTTGACTTTGTATGCAGCATTTACTTATCAGTAACCACAATAGAAAAATTCCTATATGGCAAGCTCTAACATATCTGCATTAACTCATTCAATGGCAGAAAGTACTGCACAAGCCATTAGAAGTCTTAAAGTATACAGCTCAGCAGGCTTTAAGCCAGCAACTGGAAAAATCACATTGGCAAGTGATTTTGGCACAACTGACTAGGTAATATTTAAAGGACCACTATAGGCACCCAGACCACTTCAGCTCAATTAAGTGGTCTGGGTGCGAGGTCCCTCTAGTTTTAATCCTGCAGCTGAAAACATGGTTTCAGAGAAACTGCTATGTTTCACTGAGGGTTAATCCAGCCTCTAGTGGCTGTCTCACTGACAGCCACTAGAGGCGCTTCCATGATTCTTACTGTGAAAATCACAGTGAGAAGACGCTGGACGTCCATAGGAAAGCATTGAGGGGTTTTAACTCCTTCAGCCCAGTGGGAGGGGGCACCTAATGACCCTATAGTGCCAGGAAAACAAGTTTTCCTGGCACTATAGTGGTCCTTTAACAGTGTTAAAAAGTGCAGTAATATACAGCAAAATGTTTAATCTCACTTGCCACTGTCAACTGATACCCCTCCAAATTGTCTCAATTTAGGAGGGACAATCCCACAAAAACACACACTGCGTCCCCAGCACATACACAGACACACACACACACACACACACACACACACTGCATAGCATAATGGATGTGGTTTTGTTTTGGTGTGCATGCTTGTGGTGAGGAGGGGCAGCAGCATTTCATCATTTTATTTATTTTTTATGGTACAGCTGAGGTGGATTATTGGGGCAAGCTTAATGTCAACTATAGGAGGGGTTATCAAATGTATTTTTGGGCTGAAGTCCCTAGTCCACATACAACGCCAACGAAATAAAAAAATAAAAAAAATACAGCTGAAAACAATGCATGCACACACAGTGACGTCCAGTGAAGGACACTCGTACATACAAACACCTTACAAATACATTCTTACACTTACTAACACAATTCATACAAATATTCAATAACTGCATCTGTAAACTTTAATATTATACACAAATATTCATTTGAATACACACACACACATCTGAAAATACATTTCTGCATTACAAATACACTGACTCAGTGCAAAATACACCCAGCTTACACACAGTTCATACAAAAACACTACCAGCAGACAAGCTCTCTGAGTACAAGATGGCACTGGTAAGCGGTTTGGAAAAAATAAAGTAACTGATTAGCAATTTTGGGACAACAATGAAAGTGGTCAGCGATTTGGGCACAAAAATGGCACTATTAAGCTATTCTGACACATTCTTGCACCCAGGCGTCAGTGACCCCAGGATCGGCCCTGATAGGATCCCTTTAAGCTAATGTTGCTTTGGTGAGTACAGTGTCCCTTTAAGTAACCTAAAGTTTTTCTAAACCGCTCGCCCTAACCATACCCTTAAAATGAAGAGGGTCACTTTTGTCAGTGTAAAATGTTGGAAGGTATGCAATTCTACCCTTGTAAATGACCAGCATTGGATTTAATAGAAACTAGATTTCTATCATTTTCACTTTTTAAATCTGCTCATTCCACATGCAGGGTCTTAAACATCATTTGAATGGCGCTCCAGAGGTAATAGAGGAGTTATTTTTTTTATCGTGTCCAGGAGACAGAACACTGGCTACAAGATGTTCTCACATGTGCGCTTTACCTATTACTTAACAAAATTGTGCACATGAGATATTAGCAGGTAGCAGGAAATGCGCTTCCGTAAACAGCTACCTGGTCTGTTTTGGTACCTATCTGGGCTCAAACATGGCACTTAAGTTGGCCGGGCCCTCCAATGACATATCGTACCCATAAAATAGTTAAAAGTGTGCACTCTCATTAACCATGTACTAAATCTGGTGCCTGAGATAGTACGAGGATATATTAATGAAGTGGTTTTGGTGCATCAGGCAGCCTGCCACTACAGATGCTTTCTCACTGATGCCCTTCAAATATTGCAGACCTGCACATTTGCATCATCTTGTAACTCATTACACCACATGCTGTTAACGCGTCTCTGTGAGAAGCACTGGATTGGCAATGTTTCTGAGAGGAGAATGTCCCAGCTCTGGATTAAGGAGAGTTTAATAGCTTTTTATTTAAAATCAAAGGAAACGAACACTTGAAGGTTTCAAACATTTAATATTTCCCCTCAGAGTGTTCCTTTAAATAAAAAAATAATAAAGCAGGAGGTTTTATTCCACATTAAGAGTTTGCCAGGTGTTTTCATTTCCACTTGGTTGTGAGAGATCTGGAATTGTGCTAAATTTGATCATGTAAATTAAACCGGGCACATAATTTAGCAACCATTAGCTTTAATATGCATAATATACATATGAGTTGTCCAAGTGCCTGGAGATTTCAAAGTATTCTAAATACGATGTCACAAATTACAAAATAGTCATCAAAAACATTCATTTAATTAGATTTTATTTTTCCTATATTTTTGTTTTATTCATAATAAACGGAAATACACTGTGTCCCTATGGAGAACTGAAACATTGCTTCAACAAATCGGTGTGTTCAAAATGGTGCTATTTATACTTTTAGACAAACTCATGCATACAAAAACACACACACACACACACACACACACACACCTCTTCTAAAGGGGGTAAGCCTACTGTGGGAAGGAAGCAGTAACTAGAAATTATCTATTATTTATATCTGCCAGTCACAAGGAGAAAATATTTGGTTGAGTAGTTGCGTGTCCCACATCACTTTCTCTGAGGTCAGACAATCTTGGCAGCACATGTGGCTCACATCTGGATGCGGTTTGTGGTGATGTTTTTTGTTGATAGTACTGGAAAAAGCAATAAGGGCCACACTCCGGTGAGAAACTAACTAAAAACATACAGTTACTAGGAAGGGCATGGGACCACATAGACGTTAGTTATATTTAATATACATCTAATGTCATGGTTTATCAAAGGTACACTGGATATGAAAAAAATTGCTTATTCCAAGTGAAAGGCTAACTAGGAGTTGACAGGGAGTTAGAACTAAATCTTAAACCAGTTTTGTGGAAATAGGTTATTATTGGTTTGCTTACATCCATTGTGTTGTGTAGTTCCACACATATAATGGCTGTGGGAGTGGTGGACCTCCTAGTGTCTAGTAGAGCAGTAGTTCCACATTCAGTCCTCGTTGCACAACAGATCAAATGTAGACAATTTCCAAAACAGACAAAACAATGGGGACATTGACAAAATCAGGATGGTTTGCCTTAAAAACTGGACTCCACTACTTTCTCAAATGGATTTAGGGACATCCCAATGATGTTCAAAGAGGATTTTTAACTTCAAAAGAAAAAAAAACAAACAAAAAAAAAACCCACTGAGATTAGTGTACATTTTCTAGCATAGAATATCCATATCTGGTCTAATCCATTAAAGAAGTTTGACCTCTTAATGCAGTGTGAAAATCAAAGGTCTTAACAAGGAAGCCACACTACAGGTGTGTTTTCAGACAGAAGTAAGCATTGCAGTCTCTGTTTTAAATGGTCAGAGAAAAAAAGAACTGCATCTATTCACCAAAACCACTATATTAAGTAGTGGTTTTGGTGCTTAGAGTGAATCTTTAAGAAAGATAAAGTGCCAGGACTGTAATGATATAAAGGGATGTGCTTAACATCTTGTAACAAAGGTGTTAATGAAACCTAACCCATTGTGGATATGTAGCAATTGGTTTGAGAGCCAAGAAACAAAAGTGGTGATGCCATCCAGACATTGTGTAGATGAAAAGTGCCTTTCAATATGTCAAGATGTGGCCATGGACAGCACAACAGCAAATCTCATATCACACAAATCATCAGTATTACCCTTGTTATCAACTTGGCTGTTCAGTGCAAATATGAATTTGTACTGCATACATTAAATGTGTGTCATTGCAAGTGCACTTTAAATATTAATGTGAAACTTGTTGAGATCCTTTTTTAAGATGTAAATAGTACAGGTAGTGGATTTAAAGAATACATTTACTTTTTTTTTTTTTTTAAATAAAAGAGTGGAAATACATTTCCAGCGTCTGAACTCCTTGGCTGCCTGTTACGCCTTCGAAAACATGAGCATGTTTTTGAAGTAATGGTTTGGAGATACGTATGCGCGGCCAAGCACCATACTCAGAGTTTGAGGCCATGAAGTAAGCATGGATCTAAATCCCTAGATGTTGTGGATTAGTGCTCCCATGATGCTCTGTCAGCATTATGGTTGCAAGAGGATTATGGGAGATGCAGTCCAAAACATCTGGAGTGCCAAAGGTTCCCTACCACTGCCCTATGGTATGCCTCCAGTTGAACCTATGCAGAAAACCTCAGTCTTGGGTGGTAATACTTACACCATCCAGTTTATTAATGGTCAATGCCGAAAGTACTGCCATGCAATTAACATTACTCCACAATTTTCACCATTTAAAAGACTGGCAATCTGTGCCAGCCAGTTAATAGCACATGCTCAAATACAATTTCTGGTTTTGTAACCTATAAGTCACTTTACATAATATGACCCAGCTGGCAGATTGTCAGAGCTCATACATACCAGGAACACTTAGTCTGAGGGGAATTCATTCATTTTGCATACTAGTGATGAAAAAGGACGAGCATCACGTAAGAGGAAGAGTCAGGGTCAGGACTCAGGCAGCGTATATACAAAGAGGAATTCTAGGACAAAGTTCTAAACTAGAACAATCGACAGGAACATTCCATTAGTTTCCAGAGGAGGTTGCTTCACTTTTATAACACTAGCCTTACATTGGCTTCTGTCTAGATATAAAACTTAACATATCTGATAAATAAAGCTAATTTAAAAGAATAAGAGCACAAAAAAGTGCACTAAGGCGCTATACAGGAAATAAACAAAAGCTGCCAGATACTATAAAAACCTTCCCAAGTTTTAAAGATAATGTAGACAAGAAATTTAATAAAATTAGTATCAGCGCTTAGCAGATATCCCCTTATTGTCCAAATATAGGAAAAAACATACAATGTAATAATATTAAAATTAACTTAAAATTTAAACGTTCCAATGTCAATATAGGGAGGGATATATCCAAATGGTTAAGAGAATTAATACAGTTGCAAGGTAGTCTGTGCTTTCTGTGATTGAAGTCAATTTCATCCGATGCAACTTAGTATCCAACCTTAAAGGACCACTATAGGCACCCAGACCACTTCAGCTTAATGAAGTGGTCTGGGTGCCTGGTCCAGCTAGGGTTAACCCCTTTTTTTTTTCTTCTTTTTTTTTATATAAACATAGCAGTTTCAGAGAAAATATAACAGGGTTAATCCAGCCTCTAGTGGCTGTCTCATTGACAGCCGATAGAGGCGCTTGCATGCGTAAAAAAAAAAAAAAAAAATCGCAGTGAGAAGACGCCAGCGTCCATAGGAAAGCATTGTAAATGCTTTCCTATGAACTGGCTGAATGTGCGTGCGCACGCGCATGCGCATTCAGCCGATGACGTCGCTATGGAGGAGGAGTGCTCCCTGTCCAGCGCTGGAGAAAGGTAAGATTTTAACCCCTTCCTCTCCCCAGAGCCCGGCGGGAGGGGGACCCTGATAGTGCCAGAAAAACAAGTATGTTTTCCTGGCACTATAGTGGTCCTTTAAATGAGAAAAGATACTGACATAGTGTACAGGTAATTCAGTAACAGATTTTTATTCCCTATACAAGAAAAAAAAAAAACACCATAAGAAGAACTCTTAGAGAATATCGTGGTGGATCATTTCTTTTTGTCAATCATTATTTTATTGTATTTTTATATGGAACAATACAGAAATGAAAAGGCAATTAAGACAATGAGCGGTTTTTAACAATGTAAATTTCATATCTGTGCACAAGCGAAGAGATAGTTTTTTTTTGTTGTTTTTGTCATTCTCGCTTTTATGAAGGAGTAAACAGTGTACATGTTAATACAGACATAACAAATAGCATTTGTGTTTTGTATCGTAACAGGTGCTACATGTTTATGCGGGTGTCAGATTTTCTGTAATTGGTATAGTAGAAGAGTAGGCATTGTGAGTCTAAGTAGCAGTGCTAACAACATGGAATGCTTTTTTTTCTTCAGCTATATGTTCATAAACTCCCGCTCAACTGAGCTTCTATATATCTTCCCTTGAGGCAGGTCACGTGTCTATCTTGTATTGGTAAGCTGAGTTACTACCCTTTGGTTCAGGTTTCACCTTACCCGGGGGGTGACTGTCGTAGGGCTTAGGTTCCCTTATGTGTTTGGGTTTATGTCGGGTCCTATCACGGTCTTTTTCGTTGGTGCGCTAAGGTTCTGTGGGGTCTTGATATCCGTTATGTCTCTCGTGTTTAGCCCGCTTGCCCTATGCCCCCGGTCGGGTGGCCCTGTAAGAGGGCTCATGATCTGCTGTGAGTGGGTGTGGCTCTATGTCGGAAACCCGACATAGATATGTATAAGATGTTGTTTTCAGGTGCGTTAGTGCGGCCCACATTGGGTGTAGAGCAGTGGTATATTTAGTAAGTGAGGTATCTAGTTTAGTATCCATGGAGGTGGGTAGTGTTTTGGTCGAAAAAAATTAATAGAATATAGAGCGGTGGGGAAAGAGGGGGGTAAGGGAAGGGGGGGATAGGGTAGGTTAGGTTGGTATCGCTGCCTCTGGGGTTGAGGCGCCCCTACGCACCCCTCGTGAATCCGGCCACGCCGTGATCCAGAGGCTTGTCCCCGCGATCCCAGCCACGCCTCAGTCTGCATTGCCCGTCCAGCAATGGCCGTGTGTCATGCTGTTTCAGACCGGTCTCCCGGAGATAAACGTGAGCCAGGGGGTGCAGGTTTGCAGGTAGTGTTCCATTGAGTGAGGCTGTGAGTTGTTCAATTCCGTGGATCTCTTCAACCTTGTCCATCCAGTGCTGGACTGTGGGCACTCGGGTGGTCCGCCATCTTAGTGGGACAAGCGTTTTGGCTGCATTTAACAGGTGTTTGGTGAGCGATTTTTTGTATTTCGAGAGGGGCATCGGGTGTGGTGGAGTAGTATCTGGAGGGGCTGGAACGGGAGGTCAGTGTCTAGGTTTCCTTGATCTGGGTGTGGATTTGCTGCCAGTATGGGGCTATTTTACTACAGGCAAACCATATATGAAGGTCCGTACCCACTTCGCCTTTGCACCGCCAGCAGGTCTATGGAATAAATGTCTCCCACGTTGGGATTGGTAGTAGGTTTTAACCTGGAAGTATCGGAATTTCTCCAAGCCCGTTGGTGTCTTGTCAGGCATCAGATGTTGTAGTTGCTTCAGCGAGTGTTCCATGCACCACTGGTGCATGTATGTCCAGTCTGAGTCTCCAAAGGCCTTGATATCCCGAAGTGTAAGGCCCCCGGCCAGGTCTGGGTTATGTGTGATCGGGGTCAGAGGGCCAGGGTTAGTAGATAGTCTAAGTTTAGTCCTGGCGGAGTGCCAAATTCTTAGGGTCGCTCCAATGAGCGGGTGGTTTCAGGTTTGCGCGCCCATCGTCGGGTTCCCCAGCCACACTGCCGCCAGGATCGACCCCTCCATCTGGCTTTGTTCCATGTGTATGCAGCTTTTACAGGTTTTTGGGAACACGCCAGTCTACTACTCTGTGTAGGTGCGTTGCTCTGTAGTAATCCAGAATGGATGGGATACCCACTCCACCTTGGGCCTTAGGCAGTCGGAGGTGTGATCTTTTCAGCCTGGACGCTTTAGATTGCCATATGAATCTAGCGATGGCCGTGTCCATGGTTCGGAAAAAGGTCCCCGGTATGTTAGTTGGGATAGTCTGGAAGAGATATAGGAGTCGGGGTAGTAGATTAATTTTGATTGCATTAATTCTCCTGAACCATGAGTTACACAGGCTAGCCCATCACGCTATATCCGCCTCCAACTTTAGTAACATCGGTGCGAAGTTGTGTGCGTACAGCTGGGTCAGGTCTGCCGAGAGCCAGATGCCTAAATATTTGCTTGACACCACGTAAAGGCGTATTGCTTTTTGAGATGAGTGGCCATCACCTCTCCTGTAGAGATAGGGAACGCTTCAGATTTATCCATGTTTAGTTTCAGATTGGAGACCTGTCCATATTCAGCGAAGGCCCTTAGCAGATTCGGGAGGGAGACCATTGGTTCGCTGACGAAAAATAGCATGTCGTCCGCGTAAGCAGCCACCTTTTGTACCTGTCCGTGCAAGGTAAATCCCCCCCACTCCCCAGTCCCGTCTGACCGCCCTCAGGAAAGGTTCCAGGGAGAGGGCAAACAGAACGGGGGACAGCAGACACCCCTGCCTTATCTCGTTGCATATTTGTACCGGTTCAGAGAGTGTCCCGTTGATCCTGACCCTGGCCGATGGGATCGTGTATAGTGAAGAAATCCATGCCATTAGATGTGGGCCGAAACCCATGGCCTGTAGAGTCGCTGTCATGTATCGCCAGTCCACCCGATCAAAGGCCTTCTCTGCGTCGGTGGACCGCCTCGCTGCATGGATGACATTTAGAGCACATATGGCGTTATCCTGTGCTTCCCGACCTGGGATAAACTCCACTTGGTCGGGGTGGACTAAGTCTGGCAGGACTCCTCCTATTCGTGTCGCAATAACCTTCGTAAAAAGTTTCAAGTCCGCATTCAGGAGTGAGATTGGCCTATAACTCGCGCATTTGGTAGGATCTTTGCCTTCCTTAGGAATGACGGCGATCGTCGCTGATAGGGCATCCCTTGTGAACGCACCTCTGTCAAGCAGGGAGTTCAGGCCATTCAGGAGTTTGGGTAGAAGCACCTCTCCGAACTCCTTGATGTATCTCACCGGTAGTCCATCTGGGCCTGGGGCCTTGTTTAGCTTAGATGTCTTCAGTGCTGCTTGGAGTTCTTCCAGTGTGATGGGGGCTTCCAGTCTGTCTGCTACTTCTTGGCTCAGAGTTTTCGTGATGTGTTGTTGTAGATAGGTCCCTATTCGTATGTCTTTTCGGCAACCTGCGTCTGTTGTGTCTTCGGATGGTAGGTTGTATAACTCCTTGTAGAAACCGTGGAATGCGTCAGTAATTTGGTCCCTGGTTGTAATTTTAGTAATGTGGCACATTCGGCGTCTTTTTTTTGTAGCGTTCGGGCCAGGAGGCTGCCGCATTTACCAGAGTATTCGTAGAAAATGCGGTGGGCTTTCCGGATGGTGTACTGTAGTTTGCGGTGAAGGATGTCTCTCAGAGCCCACCTGGCCTCCAGAAGTGCTTTGTAGCGGTCGTCTGACAGAGTGGTTTTGTGCTTATCTTCCAGATCCGCGATTTGCACGGTCAAGTCCACCACATGTTGTCTCTGTTCCTTCTGCATTTTAATAAGCTGTCCCCTGATTACGCATTTGTGCGTTTCCAACACCGTTAAGGCTGGGATCTCCGGGGATTCGTTTTCAAAGAAGGTGGTTAGCATCGTTCGAAGTTCCATGACCAAGGGCGCATCATTGAGGATCGATTCATTCTATCGCCACTCACGGTCTCTCGGGCAATACAGGGGGATCTAATCCGGGCCGATACCGGAGAATGGTCGGACCAGCCCATGGGCCGGATCTCCGTTGATAGCAGCATGGATAGAAGCTCCTGGGCCACGAATATGTAGTCCAGCCTGGTGTATCGAGGAGTAGTAGGTGAAGTCCTTGCTACAAGGGTGGAGTACTCTCCAGATATCCATTAGGCCCGCACCCCGTAGTGCTTCTCAGTTCCAGGGCTACATTCAGGTCCCCTGCCGCAATCAGGAAGCCCTCTCGGAACCCCTCCAGCTTATGCAACGTCTTCCTGAGGAATCTGTATTGTCGTTTATTGGGGGCATAGATGCTGGCAAAGGTGTAAGTGCAGCCCGCTATAGTGCCTTTGACAAACAGGTAGTGCCCCCGGTGTCTGCATATTCAAACGGGACTGTGTTCGCAAATAGGATCGCTACTCCTGTCCTCTTGGCCGTCCGGTGATTTGTAAAGAACCCGTTGTGTATCGCATGTTTCGCATCGTTGGGCCCTCAGCGCCTCTGAAGTGGGTTTCCTGTATAAAAACAACGGAGACCCTCTCGGCCCAGAGCGAGCGTAGCAGGTGCGATCTCCGTTCGGGCACATTTAGCCCCCGGCATTACTCGACCAGAGGTGAAGAGGCACGTGGGCAAACCCCAACCCCACAGTCTGTAAGCGTTCTTCTTAGGGGTTTTTTGTATAGGGAATAAAAATCTGTTACTGAATTACACTGTCAGTATCTTTTCTGATTTAAGGTTAGATGTTGGGGGAGGGAAGGTGATGGGGAGACGAGTAGGGAGTGTGGGGTGAGGAAAGAGTTGTAATTTTAGTAATGTGGGCTTGCGTTGACTCGACACCTGTGGTGGGGGCATCGTATGGACACCCTATCAGAGTAGTCCACACCCCCCAAACAGAGCTACTAAGGTGCCCGTCTAGGGGTACCTGGCCCAGGGAGAGGTAGCGCAGCGCACAACCGTTGTGTATACCAGGTGTTATGGCTTGTTCCACCGGTGTGAGTATAGCAATGTGTTAGGGATGAGGCACCTGTAACAATGAGTGAAGACCCTTTCTTTGGGGTCAGTATAGGTATCTAGTGACCTATGTCATCTACATCCCCCCCACCGATATTGCCAAGGCGTTACGGGAGGCATAAGGTTCTCGGTAGGTCCTGAGCTTTTAGTCGCTATGGGGTTGTGTGCTTATCTGTGGTCATTGCCAGGGACCCATTCCCACCCACAGAGTCCCGAGATCCATGGAGGGCACCCCTTCGGGAACATGTGAGAGCGGGGGGGGGGGCTTGTCCTTTCGTCTGCATGTACCCTCTCGAGTTAAGCCTTCTACGGCCGTTGTGTACCCTCACTAATAGTCCGCTGTGTCTGGTGCTGGGGGTCCGTCGGGCTCCCTTGACGTCTCGGGGGGGGGGGGAGAAGAAGGCTTCGGGATGCGGTCGCTATACGTCTGCCCTGTATACTGGTTGGTGGCCTCGGCTGGTAACCTTTCTCATCCCTGTCTGTGGTTCGTTAAGTCTGCACGGTTATCCCTTCCGTATCTGGTTCCGGGTTGCCAAAAAAACCAAAACTGTGCTATACAGTATCATGGCAGAACGGTAGACCCTCTGTCAGCCACCCCTCTAAGAGCCTGTGTAGTGCCACCCATATCCCCTATAGCCAATTCTCCCTGCCCTTCGATGTCACACTACCATAGCCTGCTTCCAGTAGTCGCCAGGCAGTGTCCACAGTCTCTGCTAGATTAGTCGGGATTTGGCTCTCGTGCCCCTAAAAGTAGTTTGGTATTACATAGCTGGCAGGGCCAGTCAGTGTCTCCAGTCATGTTTTGGAGCCTGCTCCCTGATTACCTATTGAGTTCCGGAACAGTTTGGTTGGGTCAGTTTCAACGTCCCCTGTGCTGCAGCTAGGCACGGTGCCTTTCGTAGTGAGCGTACCGGTCCATATCCCCCTCCCCCCCCCCAGCAAGCACAGCCCGCATTCCCCGACCTAAATCGCCGTCTGAGGTACCTTAGGCGTGCTCTAACGGTTGTGTCCCTTACATGGGGCTCTCCGGCTCCATGAGGTGTCCCCCTGTTTTCAAGTTGGCCCCGGTCCACATCGTCAAGTGGGACCCCTCGCCCGTTCCCCTCCCTCCCAAAGCGTCCCCCCCGGCATTTGTGTCCCCAGTTGTGCATATAACTCACCAGTCCCCCAGCGACCGTCTGGGCTCCGACCAGGTTATTCTTCTGGGCCTTCCAGGCCCTCCCTCCTGCGTGGAGGTATATTCCCACTGGATACAGTGGTAGGCAGGTGCGTGGGGGCCAGCGGGTTCCTCCTCATGGTGATGGTTTCGGCGGCAAGCCCAGCATCCTCTGGAGTCTTGGGATGTCTTCCGGCCAGCAGGCCGTTAGCCAGGTGTTGCAATGCTTTGCTTGAAAACTAAAGTGGAAGTCCCAGCGGTATGGGATTCTTCTGTCTCGGAGTGCGCCGGTCACCGGGCGCAATGCCCTTCTGGCATCCAGTGTGAGGCTGGAGAGATCTTGCTACAGCGAGATCTCTGTGTGATGGTAACTGATGGAGGGTAAATCTCTCGCAGCAACCATGAACTTATCTCTCAGTCCATACGTTGAGATGCAGCAAATCACATCTCTGGGGCTTCCGTCTTGCCTCGCCGGCCCCAGGGCTCTAAGTGCGCGGTCAATGTGGATCGTTTCAGGGGCTTCTGCTCCTAGAAGCTGCTTGAACAGTTAAATTAGCGTGGTCTGGAGCGGTTCTGTACCTGCCTCTGGCAGGCCGCAAACACAAATATTGTTACGTCTGCTCTGATTTTCCAGATTTTCCACTTGTCTTCATAAGGTGAGGAGCATGTTACCTTGTCTGGTAACTGCTACCTCCATTGCCCCTCGCACCCTTGAGCCGCCGTCTCCACTTCGTCCACTCTCTGCTCTAATGCAGTCAGGTCTGAGCGGAGGCCTGCGAGTTCTTCACGCAGTGCTGCGCGAAGTTCCTGCACCAAGGTACCTGTGGCAGCTTTAGAGAGCATCCTCGCTGATATCTGGGTAAGTTCCGCTCTAATTTGGGCTAAGTGACTCGCCTGTATGCCTTCCGCCAAGGATTCTCCAATGCTCACCGAGCTCGGGGATGCAGGCGCCATTTTGTCTGCCTGGTGAGGCCCTTTGAGATCTGACGGCGTGGCGACAAAGTCGTCCATCGGCCCCGTATATCGCCGTGGGGAGCCGTCTGTGGCTGACTCCGGAGCCATATGCTTCCTGTTCCGGACCATTGCCACCCGGTTTATCGCTTATTTTAGCTTTTTAATCGGCCAGTGGTGCGGAGCTCGTTCACCGTGCGTCCTGCCCCATGCTCGTCCAGGCCACGCCCTGTGATTCTTATTTCTAAGTGCCAATACATAAGCATTGGTGCAATACAGTGTACTAGCCGGGATGTATATGATTACCGCTCCAGTCCTGTGCACTCGAACCGATGACCTTGCAGGAACGCCGACTTTCAGGTACTGCTGTGATCGCTCTCACAATTCAAAATAGAAATTCCCGCCAAACTTAATCTACGTGTTTCGCCTGTTAGATCGTGCTTTCTCAAGATAGTGTTTGGGATTGAATATATACACCCCCTGATTGCATATCTAGGGTGTGAAGCACTTAGGTGCTCTAGTTTAAACACATATACTTTTCTTCTTATTTCTAAAAGATAATTTACATACAAACAATATAATGTCTAACATAGAATTCTAGTTTTCACACGGATTAATTACAACATAAAAAAAATGAATAAATACTCTTTATCTGCGACAGAATTCCTTACTCTGATATCTTAGCAATTACAGAAAGCATTATTTCTGCGAGCAATATAATGCTCAACTCAAAATGAGTTTGTTTTCAATTTAGGCATTAGGCAATTTAGAATTAGTTCTAACATACATAAAATGCTTATTTAGTTCCTTTCCTCTCCTGTCCTCCTTTTCCTCTCTTCTTTTCTCTCCTACTCTGACACAGGTATCTCAAGGTACTTGGTCCGGTGGGTCTCCGGTCTGAGCTAAGCTGGATGCAGAGCTGCAGACAGTGTAATAAGTCTCCCGAGCTCCCAGAGTGTTGCCACGGTAACACTCTGGGTGCTCGCAAGACTTCTATCACACAATCTGCAGCTCTGCACCCGGCGGAGCTCAAACTGGAGGTGCTGGGCAGACTGACTGGAGGGAGCCCTCCTGGTGTCACTGACCAAGAGCCCAACTAATCAGTCTGCTTGCCTGAGTCCCCGGCAGCCCTGGATGTGTGGGTCAGCGCGACCCACTGGGAATCACCCTGCGACCCACCAGTGGGTCGCGACCCACACTTTGGGAACCGCTGGTCTAGAGCACACAAGTGCTTCACGCTCTAGATATGCAATCAGGGGGTGTATATATTCAAACCCAATCCCCCAGACACTATCTTGAGAGAACCCGATCTAACAGGCGAAACACGTAGATTGAGTTTGGCGGGAATTTCTATTTTGAATTGTGAGATCACAGCAGTACCTGAAAGTCGGCGTTCCTGCAAGGACATCGGTGCGAGTGCACAGGACCGGGCTGCAAAAATCCATGAGCGGAGCGGTTATCATATACATCCCGGCTAGAACACTGTATTGCACCAATGCTTATGTAGTGGCACTTAGAAATAAGGTCCACCATGATATTCTGTAAGCGTTCTTCTTAGGGGTTTTTTGTATAGGGAATAAAAATCTGTTACTGAATTACACTGTCAGTATCTTTTCTGATTTAAGGTTAGATACTAAGTTGCATCGGATGAAATTAACTTCAACCACAGACTACCTTGCAACGGTTAGAATTCCCGTAACCATTTGGATATATCCCTCCATATATTGACATTGGAACTCTTACGTTTTAAGTTAATTTTAATATTATTACATTGTATGTTTTTTTCCTATATTCGGACAATAAGGGAATATCTGCTAAGCGTTGATACTAATTTTATTAAATTTATGATAAAGCACTTGATAATTTGCATCATTATTCCTCAATAAATACAGATATAGAAATGCTTCTTTAAGCTTTTTAAAGCAATGAGGGTGAAGGAAAGCAAACCTTTCCTGAGGAAACTAAACACTTTAACCCCGTAAGGACCAAACTTCTGAAATAATAGGGAATCATGACATGTCACGTGTCCTTAAGGGGTTAACTGGCTCAGCAAAGTACTCTGACAAATGTACAACATTTGTGGCAAGTATGCAGAAAATATTGGTCTAATAATACTGTACAGAGAGTAAGACTACAACCACAAAAGGCATTTAATATAATCTGCCAAAAAAATTGTTTTCTTTCAAAAGTAACTTTCAAAACAAAGCACTGAATTCAAGGATAGGCACACTCTGCAGTCCCAGCTGCGGTGGATGATGCTTAACCAGCCTCCAACGTTTTAGTCTACAGCACATGGGGGCTGGGGTGTGCTTGTTCATTGTTTGATTGATATACATTAACAGCAACTTTTCAAGCTTGGGAGACTACATATTCAAATCACATATTAAGGAGTTTAGTTTTCCCAGAAAAGTGAAACTGCATTGTAAGAGGAGGGATTGGGGGGGGGGGGGGGCAAGGAAAAAAAAAAGGAAGTGTGGAAGGAAATTAGTGAGTGGGAAAGAATGAGACGGGAGAGGAAAAGAGAGATACTGTCAGATATGTGGACTTTCTCCTTATATGGCTTAATCCTTACTCGTAGCACCGTGTCAGCAGACGGCACACTTCAAACAGGCAGACAGGAAAATAATGCTGCAGGATCAGCTTTAACTTGTCATAAAATAGTTACACAAAACGAGATGCTGAAGTGCTGTACTGGCTTAATTTAACATGGGACTTGGAAACAAATTGCTCAAATCTCTTCCCCCTCCTACATGATATCTGGGAATAGATAAGGCAACAAACACACACTCTATCCTGCCATTAACACAACAAGGATTTAAAAGTTAACAGAACAAATTTAATAGAGATCTAGCCACCTATCTTCACTGCGAATAACACTTAGGTATCTCCCCCACCCACCAATGTATAACAAAATACAGAGAAGAATTAGAGCAGTAAAACAAAGTACCTTAGACTGGATTTTTACTGACACTTTTAGCCAAGCATTTGGTGCCGATTGAGAGAAACAGTACATACTATTTCTCTCAATTTGTAGCCTATGACCATTATGGAGCCCATAACCAGCTGATCAGCTAAACCTTCCTCTTACTGTGGTACAGAGGCAGAGAGGAAGGAGCCAAAAAATAAACAGTTTGTTTACCTTTCTACCTATTTTGCTCTCCGCATAAGAGGGGGCAGACAAATATCACATTACTACCTTCCAAGCAAGTGCAAATGAGAAAAAAATTTGAAAATGTACTTTCCACATTCCACCGCACAAGATTTAAATGGATAAGCCGTCTTTGTGATCATGCCACTTTAATGATCATTCGAACTGCGCAGGGACTAGTGGTGGCAGCAGGCAGGTGCTGTGGGCTGACACGACCTGCCAGCACCACAAGTCACCTAGTCCTGTTGCTACAAATGTCTTCATGGCACTGGGTGTTTTGAACCCCTCACAACACCAATATTGCACCTCTGACAGAACCTCCCTCAGGGTTATTCACTAAATTTTGGATTTTCACACATCAAACCAAAATGGAAAAGCGGAGGCAAAAAGATGCGACTCTAGCAGAGTTGGAGAATATATTCAGATCTGCCTTTTCCCTTGCATTTACCCCCATTTGCATCACAAAATGAAACCATTAATCTCCAGAAGCACTGATACATGGTAACCATCAGCACATCGAAGTAATGCCTGTGTAACAAACAATGGTGGGTCAGGTAGCCCTTATTAAAGGGTACATTTTTCCATCCATTAAGATGTGCAGGGAACAGGCATTTGTGAAATAAATATGAAAGAAATTCTCTGCAAGAGAGAAAGTTATCCAGCAGTGTGGTCACAGGTAGTGCTGAAAAAAAAAAAAACATTAAGATTACATTACCAAAAAAAAAAAAAAAAGTCATGTTACAGAAGCATGCAGATATGTTTATTGTGCTGTGAATTCTGACATTCTATCTAACAGGACTTTTAAGCACAACCTCCAGATTCTTGTGAGCGGTTACACTGATAAAGGAATTACAGTGTGGTAACTCTGTGACACAAGCACAGTCATATCCTCCTTTCCAGTCTGGTGACTAATTATTATCCCAGTACTTGTGTAAGGAAATACCAGCAAAGATGACAGTGGAGTTCACCAACTTTCACCTTCCCCCATCTCTACCAAATATACCAAGAAACACTGCACCTTTATACCTCAATGGAAAACTCAAACATACATACTTCTAGAGAGAGTTAGGATTGCAAATCTGTATTCCTAATGCTATGATGTCCTTAGAAGATCTATATAGGTCCCCCTTGTTCACCATAGAAATAAAGAAATGTTTTACTTGCCTTTTTCCAGTGCTGACCTCTCCGCGTTCTGTGACATCACCAGAGAGTCGTTACCTCATCCGCAATGGTTCAATCTAATGTTCTTCATAATGTGCATGCTGGCAAGTGCTGCGCACACATTCAATCATTAAGTGCAATGAATCAATGCTTTCCTATGGGGGGCTTCCGCATCACATGACCAAGTTCTACTCTGTCAGTGCAGTGTAAGCACCTCTAGCGGCTGACAGTAGGATAGTCACTTTGAGGTGGACTTAATCCTGCAAAGTAAACTTTGCGGTTTCCAAAAAGACAAACATAGGGCCAGGGAACCCAGAACACTTCATTGAGATCAAGTTTTCTGGGTAGCTACAGTGTCCCTTTAAGGTACAAAAGATTCAAGGGATACGCCATACAAAGCGGTGTGATTCACCCTAGTTGTAGTGCACAGCAGCTGTAGTGCGGTCAAACTTCTAACTAAAGCCCCAACACAGAGAGGATCTGTAAGAGCAACAAAGCTGGTAAATACATATCACCCCCCAACACACACCAATTTCTAACGGCTGATAAGTCTCCACAGCCTGAAACATTAAACGTTCTATATTCTGAAGTCCCTTGCAAACTGCAGATAGAAATTTACTGACCACAATAGACTCCCAGAAGGAAGAGGAGAACAAGAAAAGGAAATGTAAATGGCTTCAGATTACTATATGACCATCCTGAATAGGCAAGAACAAAAGAAAATATATAAATACAAATAAGAGATATAGCACTACTTTTCTTAACTCGCTGTTCTTATTGCAAATCTATCTAGAAAACCTCCCCTGCTGCCCCTCCTCTCTCCCCCCCCACAGTCATATAGCTTCTGATATAGTGTTCCTATGATGTACCTCTGGCTAATGTGTTTATCTACAGTCACAGACTTACCTTGCCCTCCGCCCTCATGCCACATTGTCCCACTTCTGGTCAGCAATATATTTTATTATTTTTATGGCGCATTCACATTCCGTAGCGCTGTACAATGGGTGGACTAACAGACATGTAATTGTAACTAGACAATTGGACGTACAGGAACAGAAGTGGTGGGCCCTGCTCAATGAGCTTACATTCTAGAGGGGGTGGGGTATAGTGACACAAAGGTTTAAAGTAGGGGTATGAAGTAGGTTGTTAGAAAAGTATTCATTGTGGGCTTAGTAGGTAATTTTTGACAGTTGGAGGAGAGGAGTCATGGGGGATGGGGGATAAAAACTTGCTAACAGTTTAATTGATATGCTTTTCTGAAGAAGTGTGTTTTCAAAGATTTTTTGAAGGAGTGGAGACTGGGTGAAAGCCTAACTGAGAAGGGAGTTCCACAGAAAAGGTGCAGCCCTGGAGAAGTCTTGGAGGCGAGCATCAGATGTGGGAGTACAGACAGAGGAAAGGTGTAGGTCTTCGGCAGAGCACAGGAGCCTCGACGGGACATATATGTGTACTTTGCTGAACACAAATATCAGTGTTTCAAAACAGTAAAATGTATTACAACGATATAGTCAGTGAAAGTTAAATTTTTTGCATTTTTCCACACACAAATGGCACTTACACGGACGATATAATTGTTGTGATACGTTTTACTGTTTTGAAACACTAATATGTGTGTTCAGTGAAGTCTCCTGAGTACAACAGTACCCCTCATGTATAGGTTTCAGGCCCGGACTGGCCATCGGGCATACCGGGCAAATGCCCGGTGGGCCGCGGTGTCCGTGGGGCCGAGGCCGGCAGGGGAGGTCCCAGGATCTCCCCTGCCGGTCTATGCAGGGCCGGCACTCTCCTAGCGCCGGCCCCGCTGTTTGCCACGACGGGCCGGTGGGGAGATCAAGGATCTCCCTGACCGGCCCACATGCAGCCTCCGGCGGGGAGAGAGGGAGGGAGCCAGCCAGCCAGGCTGGAGAGAGGACCCGGCGGAGCTCTAACTTGCAGCTCCGCCGGGTTCCTCTCGCGAGATCCGGCGCGTTGCCATGGCAACGACCGGATCTCGCGAGAGTGAACTCTAGCCTCACAGGCTATGCTGGCTAGAGTTCACTCACCCACGAGGACCACCAGGGAACAGCTCCACCCCGCCTGCCAGCGTGCCGGACCCCCCCCTCCCAGGCTAAAGGTAAGAAGGGAGGGGGGGGGGATAATGACTGTTTTTTTTTGTTTTGTTTTTTTAAATTTTATTTACCCCCCCCCCTACACACACACACAATAACATTTATACAGCACTCTCACACCCATCACACACAGCACTGTCACACCCATCACACACAGCACTCTCACACCCAGCACTCTCACACCCATCACACACAGCACTCTCACACCCATCACTCTCACACCCAGCACTCTCACACCCATCACACACAGCACTCTCTCACACAGCACTCTCACACCCATCACACACAGCACTCTCTCACAGCACTCTCACACACACACAGCATTCTCTCACACAGCACTCTCACACCCATCACACTCACAGCACTCTCACAGAGCACTCTCACACACACACAGCACTCTCACACCCATCTCACACAGCACTCTCACACAGGGCATTCTCACACCCATCACTCACACACGGCACTCTCATACCCATCACTCACACCGCACCCTCACACACACACATACTGCACCCCTCACATACACACAGAACCCCCCCAACACACTGCACCACACACATACACAATACTTCCAAATATACACACACACACACACACACACACACACTACACTCTTAAAGGACCACTCTAGCCACCCAGACCACTTCAGCTTAATGAAGTGGTCTTGGTGCCAGGTCCTTCTAGGGTTAACCCATTGTTTTATAAACATAGCAGTTTCAGAGAAACTGCTATGTTTATCAATGGGTTAAGCCTTCCCCCAAAGCCTCTAGCAGCTGTCTCATTGACAGCCGCTAGAGGCGCTTGCGTGCTTTTCACTGTGAAAATCACAGTGAGAGCACGCAAGCGTCCATAGGAAAGCATTATAAATGCTTTCCTATGCGACCGGCTGAATGCGTGCGCAGCTCTTGCCGCGCGTGCGCATTCAGCCGACGGGCGGATCGGAGGAGAGCTCCCCGCCCGGCGCTGGAAAAAGGTAAGTTTTAACCCCTTTCCAGAGCCGGGCGGGAGGGGGTCCCTGAGCCACATATGCATCACATTACACCACAAACACAACACGACTAAAACCGACCTTATTACACAATACCACACCACGACCAGCTCACTCTACACACATGCAATACCACAAGCAGGCTCCAAACACATGCACAATACTCTTTCCTGGCCTTTTGTCTCCTGGTATCCATTTATAGAGACACCAGAGACAAGTTGCAAGGAAACACAGTGCAAGCATGTTATTAAATTTGCTTGCACTGTGCAGAACAAATACAGGACTTTTTTCTCATGCTAGAGCTCTTCAGCAGAGCTCTGCGCATGGTCTGCCCTGGAAGAGCATTGAACCAACATGCTCACTTTGAGAGGAGGCGTGTTTGTCATTGGTGATGACAAAACACACCTCCTCTGCCCCGCCCCCTTTTTAGTGGGCCGCTGTGTTAAAAAAATGCCCGGGCCGAATTTTTCTCCCAGTCCGGCCCTGATAGGTTTTATGGTGTTTTCAAAAGTTACAGAGTCTAATATAAGGCTTGTGTTTCAGTTTTTTCACACTGAAATTCGCCAGATTGGATACGTTGCCTTTGAGACCGTATGGTAGGCGAGGAATGAGAATTACCCCCATGATGGCATACCATTTGCAAAAGTAGACAACCCAGGGTATTGCAAATGGGGTATGTCCAGTCTTTTTTAGTAGCTACTGGTGAATTTCAATGTGAAAAAAAAAATGAAAAATTTAACATAGAAACATAGAATGTGACGGCAGATAAGAACCATTCGGCCCATCTAGTCTGCCCAATTTTCTCAATACTTTCATTAGTCCCTAGCCTTATCTTATAGTTAGGATAGCCTTATGCCTATCACACACATGCTTAAACTCCTTTACTGTGTTAACCTCTACCACTTCAGCTGGAAGACTATTCCATGCATCCACTACCCTCTCAGTAAAGTAATACTTCCTGATATTATTTTTAAACCTTTGTCCCTCTAATTTAAGACTATGTCCTCTTGTTGTGGTAGTTTTTCTTCTTTTAAATATAGTCTCCTCCTTTACTGTGTTGATTCCCTTTATATATTTAAATGTTTCTATCATATCCCCCCTGTCTCGTCTTTCCTCCAAGATATACATGTTAAGATCCTTTAACCTTTCCTGGTAAATTTTATCCTGCAATCCATGAACCAGTTTAGTAGCCCTTCTCTGAACCCTCTCTAAGGTATCAATATCCTTCTGAAGATACGGTCTCCAGTACTGTGTACAATACTCCAAGTGAGGTCTCACCAGTGTTCTGTACAATGGCATGAGCACTTCCCTCTTTCTACTGCTAATACCTCTCCCTATACAACCAAGCATTCTGCTAGCATTTCCTGCTGCTCTATTACATTGTCTGCCTACCTTTAAGTCATCAGAAATAATCACCCCTAAATCCCTTTCCTCATATGTTGAGGTTAGAACTCTATCAAATATTCTGTACTCTGCCCTTGGGTTTTTACGTCCAAGATGCATTATCTTGCACTTATCCACATTAAATGTCAGTTGCCACAATTCTGACCATTTTTCTAGTTTACCTAAATCATTTGCCATTTGGCTTATCCCTCCTGGAACATCAACCCTGTTACATATCTTAGTATCATCAGCAAAAAGACATACCTTACCATCAAGACCTTCTGCAATATCACTAATAAAAATATTAAAGAGAATGGGTCCAAGTACAGATCCCTGAGGTACCCCACTGGTGACAAGTCCAAGCTTCGAATATATTCCATTAACTACAACCCTCTGTTGCCTGTCACTCAGCCACTGCCTTACCCATTCAACAATATTGGAATCATACATACTATATGTGACCCTGTAACTTCCCAAAACACCATAAAACCTGTACATATGGGGTACTGTTTTACACGTGAGACATCGCTGAATACAAATGTGTATTTTATTGCAGTAAAATCAAACAGTATTATGACACAGTTAAAATGTCACTGAGAACTAGAAAACATTTTTTCCAATTCTTATTTTCTCCCATTTTTTTAAAATATTTTATTCATATTAAATGTTTCATACCTAAATATTTTATGTTAAATGAAAGCCCTGTTTCCCCTGAATAAATTGTTATATAATAAGTGTTAGCGCACATAATATGAAAGATGTGAATTACGCCTGAACAGACATAGCGCAAATTCAAGTTTTTGTTTACGTTTTGTTCACGTGTACATTTGGCTTAGTCCTTAAGGGGTTAAGCACCAGAATCATCATCGCTTAAGTGTTGTGTGCACATTCAAGCAAAACTGCATGTTTTACCTTGAATGGTTACAAATGACATTGCCACTGCACCCAGGCCACTTAATTGAAATGGAGACCTGGGTAATTTTAGTGGTCCTTTAAAGAGACATTATGTGATTTTTTTCTTTTTTTCTTTAATGACAGGTAAGTTTAACCACAGAGAGAGTAAGAAGAGACAGAGGCTAACAAAAAACAGATAGCTGCGGCTCTTTCCAATTCATCAAGATCACCTCAAGTTCACACCAGTTTCTTTATGACAAAATCCCTTCATTTGTCATCAGAAATGCATATTGCCAAATTAAATGTTCTTTCTGTGTCTGGTTTCTTTTGGACATCTAAAGGCAGTTGATCTAAGCCCTAAAAAGGCAAAGCATCTATTTATAACGAATTTGGAGGTTTTAATAATGACGGTAAACATTTTACTATGCATGTCAGTACTTGATGTTTTATACCCCTATGCATTACTGCAAAGCGCTGTGGAATATGTTGGTGCCATGTAAATATGGATCTGTCATGCTTTCTATGCTAACAAATTTTGTGACACAGCTTTTTTTTTATTTTAAATGCATGTGTTCATTGGGGTATATCTTTAAAGTGCTTGCAAAGGCTTCAGATCTTATGGGTATAGTTAAGCTATAATAAAGCAATTGAAGGGTTACAAGAGCCATAATTACATGTACATCTCAGAGGAAGAGGTCATCTTGTAACAAAATTTAAGCTCTTCCATTTAGGAAGCAAAATGCTGACGATACAGAAAGCAGGGAGCCCTTATCTTGAAGGAACACTATACAAATGTCTTTTCCTAATGCTAGTGTCCAGGTCACCATTTAGGTGACTTTCCCTAGAGCAAAGGTTGGAAAAAAAAGTATTAAATTAAAGGTATTACCCCCTAGGAAAGCACTGGGAGACTAGTGTGCATTTGCGGAAAAATACAACACTGCGCCATTCAGGTGTTCTCCGGGATTCATCTGATTATAATAAAGTTTCACTCGGCAATTTCGGAGGACGTGCCTCTACTTCATGTGAAGTAGTATAGGTGCCTATAGTGCCTTTTAATTCAAACATGAAGTGGTCTGGGTGCCTATAGTGTCCTTTTAGGCAATAAACAATTACAACATATCAACATGACTCGTGTCTAGCATACATTTAAAAAATATGTAAACTAGATCAATATACAAACCAGCTACATGAGAGAAGACAGACTATTTACATATTGTATATACACTGTCAGTAATGTAGTAGGTGTCATGTGCATTATATGTTAGTTTTATTGCCATGTAGCTCATATCACAGACCGGATTCCCAGGCTATGAAAGAAGTGTCAAGATTGGGGTCAGTGAACAGCTCATACACCATGTAAAGTATACTATGGGAAACCATATGTATAGAACCAGGGTGAATTTGCCTTAAATCAAGTCTATTTATATCACTAGTAAGACAGACTAATCATGGTTTAACAAAAATTATAATAGAGATATATATCTCTCTATCTATCTCACTTATTCTTGGAGGTTGTTAGAATTTTAATAGTTGCAATTAGGTGACGATTTTCTATTTAGAATAAATAATGTTTTAGATTAGTTTAACAGTTGTATCAGAACTGATTTTGTTATATAAAAATAGAAAATTGTTAGTCATGTATTGCAAGGTGAACCATCTCCAGTTTAATAGGTTAATCACTCCAATTTTAAGAACAATTACATTTGAATTCAACTAAAACACCCATACATATACATGTATTTGCTGTAATGGCAATGTAGGTTATCTGAAATGGTTAAACAAAATAGGTTTAACGCTCCTTCCCCGCTCTGACGACGGGGGAGGAGTGTGGGCGGAGCCTGACCCAGCACAAGGGACATCGGCGCTGGATTCAGGTAATTGACTAAAGGAGTTTTAACCCTTTCAGCACTGAGAGGGGGGGTGCAAAGTAGGGAAGCACCTTGGAAATATATAGTACCAGGAAAACAGCTTTGGATCCCTTTAACTGCAGTTTGTCACTCCTAGCACTCAGTTAAGATAGAGATAGATATTAAAAAAATAAATAAAATGGTGTGTTTCACTCATACATATACATTTTGAATGTTCATGTATGTGAATTGTTCTCCAGGCTGTATAATGTTGCTGCGTATTACCTGTATTTTAATTGCACTACAATAAAAAAAAGAGACTGACAAAAAAAACAACATATACTTTTATAAACCATCACGTTGAAGGATGTCTTCTTGTCATTATTTTAACCTAAGACCATGTTAAATTTACATGGAAGCAATAGTCTTTAATTAAAATCTTTCTGTTTTCAGCAATCACAAGAACGTCTCAATGGTCCATATTAAACCAATATGTATTCTCTTAACAGAGCTAATTCCTGGCAAGCAAGGAAGCCAAGTATTGCACAAGAAGATGGTAGCACAAAGAATTAACATTCCAAAGCATACTAAAAGAGAAGTATAAAACCATTTACATGGAAAAATTAATGCAATTGTGAAAACCCAACTACGAAATAACCTGCTTTAAAGCTAAAATGTGACTCCAGCGTGTTCATCTTCTGCAGGATGCAACAAAATAACAAATTGTGTAGGAACAAGTGAACATTAGATGAAAAGTGAGACAATATGAGCAGAGGAGAGACTTATAGGAGTGTTTTGCATTAACTTGCAAAGAATACACCGTTTTCCTAGGCACCATGAAACGAATAAGCATTTCTGTATTTAGTGTTTGCTTTGTATGCAAGATTGAACAGAATTGTGTTTGAAAAGGGAGACAACGGCTAATCTGGAAGGAAGTCATACAACTATGGAAAAACCATAAATTTGCTGGCTTTGGATGGAAATTCCTTCTTAATTAATTTGCATCAGTGGTTGATGAAGGACAGATAGGAAGAGATGGATCGTGCTCCAGTTCACACTGGATTTTATAGGTAGTGGAAGGTGTAGCACAAGTCATTACAACATTAGAAAACTTGAAAAGCACTGTATCACAGACCATGTGTGTGTGGGAGGAAGGGGGGCGTTCCAAAATATCACTAAATGCCCCTATAAGGCAACCTTTTGAATGCTGGGTCACTTAGACCATGCTTTCCATTTTCTTCCTGTGCTTCCATTTATCAAAAAGAAAATGTGCCCTAATTGCCACTTCCTGGCATTATCGAGTTGACCGAGAAGACCAGAAAACTCAAAAGTTTAATCGCCATATACATACGCAAAAAAAAAAAAAAAACGACAAAAAAAAAAACAAAAAAAACCTCAATGCACATCAAAACATTTTCTGGGAGAATGCTTCATGCTTGTTTATGTTAAGTTATTACGCTAAATATAGTTTGTCCTGTTTCCTCAGCGGGGGCTAATGGTTTCATGAAAAATTTGTTTTTTCTTTCCTCAGGCAGTCATTCAGTAATGGCAATAAAGTGGTTAAGATCACTCACATAGGGTATGGTTTTGTGACTATGGGTTCCTGTTTTGTAGTTTGGGTACTGCATTATAAAAAGTGTTGAGAACCATTCTTCAGTTAGTAAGTTAACAATACAGAAATTAGGGTTGGCTTGCAATGCAACCAGAACAAATCTACTCCGGACTACTTCATAAAAGACAAATTTATAAATCATCACAGCAATTGTGTTTGAAGCCATGTTATCATACATTTCCTCTGATGTAGAGCTGCATACACAGTTATACACCATACATACACAACTTTATATATGAACTGAAGGTAGCCAATACGTAGGCTGTACATATATATGGTGATCCTGTAATTATAAACACAACAGTAAAGAAACTACTTTGTGGGAACAATATCTAATATCAGCAACAATATTCAAAGTATTCCAGCCCCTAACATAATGCAGCATTAAACCGTGGTCCTGAAATCATATAGAAAACTAGTAGCAGCAAACTACGATCAGATAAATGCATTAACAAATTAAAAAGAAGCTTTTCTGGCACTAATAAGGCACACTTAGAACAGAAGATAGATCAGCATAGATGAGATCAAGAAGGTAAAGAGATTGTTGGTGGAAGGACATCCAATTTACTTCAAGGGACACTATAGTCACCAGAACAGCTACAGCTTATTGAATTTGTTCTGGTGAGTAGAATCATTACCTTCATGATTTTTGCTGTAAACAGTCTTTTCTGAGAAAATGCAGTGTTTACATTACAGCCTAGTGATAACTTCACTGGCCACTCCTTAGATGGCTGTTAGAGATCCTTCCTGAGTCATGGCTGCCTAAAATGCATCCAAACATTCACTATCACGCAGTAGACGAAGGAGGAGAGTATTAAGCCAAAATAAATACGGTACTAACATGAAAAGCTGGGGACCGACGAACCGAGACGGCGACAGGGGTCGGAATCGCCCACCATCACCAACCCACAACACCCACATGCACATACACGACACACAACTTGCCGCCACATATAGTCGTATATCAAAAGGACAACTGGAGGCGGGACAATGAGCAGGTCAGTCGGGGACATACACAAGTGAACACACAACACATACGAGCGGCAGCGTGCCAAGACTTCAAACTACGCAGCCTGAACCAAGACCCACTACAAACACACGGACGGCCAAGACATAGAGCAAACGGCCACTGCGGTCAGATAGCACCAGACGAGAGTTGCGAAACCACACGATCTGAGCGCCACACACATCCACATCCCAAACACAGACCTTTTTGATCCACCCCAAAATCCACGGGACAACACCACAACCACGCACACAGGTGAACCCACCTCAACGCGACGGCACCACGACACACAGACAGTGACTCGGACACACAAACCGGAATCACAAAGACGCAACAATAGAGGCAGACACACAGAGCTCCAGAATAAAGCAACACAACATAGACAACCATGGAAACACGCAATAGAGGAGACACAGACTTACCGCAGAAGGTTTCACCATCACTAGCAGAGGGGAAGGACACGAAACGTACAAAACAAATACAACCCCAATATGCACGAGCTGGTAGCCACGAGACACACTAGAACTCAGGGCTACAGACAAAAGGTCAGAACGCGTAAACACTAACTCATTTTCGCAAGATGGGCCTCCACTGCAGTTTATGGCAACAGGGATAAATACGCAAACACAGGCATCTCAGAAGAAAACAGTGTATTATTAACGAGCCACACTAGCACCGTTTAATGAGTCGATAGCTGAATACATGTTACTAACTGCCACCCCCAATTGCCACTACATACCTGACAACAACGCCCTAACAACGCAATACCAAGCAAGCTCACCACCTTCTGCATGTCTAGCTCTGCAAGGCTTATAAATATCTAATATTTGTCATGGCGTGTTTATTTTGACTTCTACGCCTCTGCGCAGGCAACTATGTGTTACTCTGAGCTAACTGGAATATGTCGGCCTCACATTATGTACACTTTCAATGTGCACGCCTCTGCATAGGCAACTATATGCATTAATGATACCAAGTTCAACACCCGTGTTTATATTGATGACAATAAACATATTTAAAACAAACATTCACTATCTCCTCCCTCTGCATGCAGACACTGAACTATCTTCATAGAGATTAATTGATTAAATTGGCCAGGGCTGTGTTTGAATTGTGCTGGCTCTGCCCCGATCTGCTGCTTTGTCAGTCTCAGCCAATCCTATGGGGAAGCATTGTGATTGGATCAGGCTACCACTTCTGCTGATGTCAGTCGGCTGGTCTAAAGGAAACAGGGGCAAAGTAAGCAGCTGCAGACTATAATACAAGTAAGATTTTACAATATTTAAGGAGAGATACAATAATCCTAAAACACTCTGTCCAGTAACGGCTTATGAGATACGTTTATCTCAGGATAAGTGGAACTGGTCTGTAAACGGATTGTCATTTGATGGATGCAATTATTGTGCTGAACCTGGCTATATCCAGGTGTCGAAAGCCACAGTTTGGATTTTTCTTTGGGGAAAAGAGAGAACACAGTCCAGAATGTTTGCGCAAAGTGTACACGCCACACACACACACATATTGGCCAAACTTAAGATCTGGCAGCCGGAACCAAGTGTCTGCCTGTCTGATTAACAAGCTGTCTAAGTCACTCTCAGAGCCAAGACTAGGTTGAGAGTGCTGTATGCACCATCACCTTTCTGATCATGAAAAGTTGTGATTGATGGCTCTCAGTAACCATTTACTAAACCTGTGCATCACCAAGGGTTTAAAACTACCACACTCCCATGGTGTATCATCCAGTTCATAAACAAGTCAGTACAACAATGCAAAACAATAACAACTACAATTCAAAGGTTACATTTAAAGCATCCAGTGTCAAGCATTTATACATTTCTGTACAACACTTATCAGCTGTTCTTTGCTCTTATTTTTCAGGACCCCCATGCAGCGACTTACATATACAATGGCACATTAACACAACACAGGAGTAAAAATATGGTTCTTGTGTACAGTATTTGTTGGACCAAATTACAAAAATTTGGAAGCAATTCTAACCACAGTTTCCTCCACAAACATCACTGAATAAACCATTTCAGTCAGCTTGTGACACTACAGTGATTGTTGAGAATTTTGTTTTAATTTGTAATGAGACATATCCAAATAAATTTCTGTTTCAATGTATTTGCTGGCTTTCTGGCCCTCCAGGAGATCAATTTCAAACATGTATTCCTAATGTTAAAGCGTTTTCCTATCAACTTATATTTAGGGTTCCCCTTAACAAGTAAGATAAGTAATTTTACTCACCATTAGTCCCCCAGCATGCCGGACTCACTGTGGCTGCAGCTCTTCTACTAGCTGAGATCACTACAGATAGTCTCAGACACTCCAATGCTTCCCCTAAGGAGTACATTGGGGATTAGAGCACGTGTGCATCAATTGCTGAGCAAAGTCAACACCTCTAACAGGATTGTACAGCATCTTTGTCAGACCTGCACTAGGACCACCACCTGAAATGACAGTCACTAGGAGGATTTAGGGACAAATGTAAATACTGCCTTTTCACTGAAAACATGGTGTTTGGCAATTGCCAGACTGCAGGTACAGGCTCTTTGCACTAGAACGACCAAATTCATATGTAGTGGTTCTAGTGTATGTCCCTTTAAGATTGGGATGCTAAGCTAATTTTACAATTGAAGAATAAATCTCTAAGCGAATATAGGTCCATGTTTATTACCAATCTAAGAGATGCTCTGACAAGTATGGACACCTTAAAAGAACAGTGTGTGCATGTAAGAAATAATTTTGGTCATAAAACCCTGTTCCCATGAAAGTTCAGACAGTTTTGTACAAATATAGGACCGTTATTTACTCACGCCAACATGTTACAAAAGCACATGATGACCAAGATTAGAACAATTCCTTTCGTTTTACCAAGGTCTCCAATTCATCAATGTACCTCAATTACAGTATACGGTATACTTGCTCATTAAAAGCTTACATAAGCATGAAGAGTTCAACTGGTCATGCACTAGTGCCCACATATTCATGGGAAAAGCGAGTTTATTTTCTACAGCTTTTTAACCAAAAATATTATTCCACAGAATATAGCTGGGAGCACATGATATTTAAATGCATAGCACTCCTTTTCATATTTAGATGTTAGTATTCTAATAATAACTATTCAGAGTGTCTTGCCAAATTTCAGACCACAAGACATACTACTTGTGTTCATAATTTATGCCTCAATAAAAAGTTTTTGATCCCATGAATGTTTCTGGCAATATCTACTTCTTGCTAGGCAATGTCTAAAATAAATTAAAAAGGAATACTCTAGGGAGCATAACCACTACTAGAGCATTTTGTAGTCATTAAGGTGCCAGGAGTCCCCAGGCACCAGTCAGTCAGTAATCTGTCAAACAGTTTATAAATGGACTGACACTTACCTTGCAGGTTTAAAACGTATTCATTAACTGTGAGTGTCAGGTGGTGGCTCTCAATTAATTGTGCTTAAACATGGTATGAGTTTGTATGATAAAGCAGAATAATAAACTTTCACTTTATCATGCCAACTGAAGGACCACAGAGGCCCAACACAGCAAAGTATGTGCCAAACTATTTGTAAATGTTGACAAGTTTCTGGAGTGTGGTACCTGGGGACTCCTGGCATCATAATTACAAAAGTGTCCCCTTAAAGCAGCTCTGTCTTTTTCAAGAGGTTGTTACATATTTTGCCAAGACCACAGATGGTGACTGCTCTGCTTGCAGTGCAGTGGCCCAGGGGTGCAAGGGAAGGTAGTTTTTACTTACCAAAACGTGTATCTTATTGCTGCTGCCGCCATGTTATACTGTGAGGTCCCCTTCAGCTGCCAGGATGCTTTTTTTCCCCTCAGCCGTTACTAATGACGACTCCGGGCTTGACAGTGGCACCACCATCTTTTTGTCAAGTGCAGGAAAAAAAAAAAAATACATACGATAAAGTAGTCCCCCTATTTGCCGCATGATATCTTTTAGCAGGTTTGGAATTTCAGTGACATTCCACGAGCATTTCATTAAAAAATTATCTTTAAGAAATGCTCTTTTTCATGGTGAGGGGGTTGGAGTGCATATGTGTTTGTGACAAACAACGGGTCTCCAAGGGACAATGTGTGTGCATTACTCTAGATTTTGTCATTTCCCTTTGATACCTTCAAAGATATTTCGTAATGAACAGTTAGTTTCTTCCCACTGTTTACATCAAAAGATGTTTCTCTACAAAAACACATCAAATTATAAGCCCATATTTCCCCTTTAGCTGCAGAAAACCTGTTTTACATCGATCAGGATTACTTTTTTTTTTGCTCCTCTTTAAGGCCTTAAAATGGAACGGAGATGGGACGGCAGCCATCTAATGTTCTTTATAGGTGGAAAGAAGTCAAACACCTGCATAATTAAGGAATTTTATGAGGTTCCAGAGTCCTATTTTTCTCTTGGATTTCCATGGACAAAAAAAAAAAAAAAGGGCTTTCATTCATTTTATTCTTCTTTTATCCTCATCGGACTTAGACGAGGTGCTAAAATTATGTCATTTTATTTAAAACTTGGAAAAATTAAGTCAGCTCAAGGTTTAATGATATGTACAAAGAATTCACTGGTTAAGAAATACATTTGGTTTGCGCTGTATACAAAGGAAATAAAATCAAAAATATTGGTAGAAAAAGAAAATTATTAGCACCTCAAAGATGTTGGAGTCATCTAGCCTAGATATAAATTCATCCTGTATAGCCCTGATCCTATATTTTTTCCACGATAGGTGCACTACGTGTAGCAAATAAGCAGTGCATATGTATAGCTCGATGGCTTGAGAAACCATTGCACACATTCCATTCACAAAACTAGACAAATAGTCGCAAAATACTTGTCTACACTAATTATTGAGTAGTTCCTCTCATCCTATGTTATAAATTGGGCTGTTGGAGCAATTAAATTACATATCTCATAAGACACTGCCACAACAGTGTTCCTTTAAGGCTACCATCTGAATATGTTTGACTACTGTATCAGTATATCACTCATACAACCCTATCTGTATTTCCCCCAAAGCTGTCTGCCACAACTTTGAGGGATTTGCACCGATGGTGAAGTAGCACAAAGATTTTTCTAGGTCATTTTTTTATTTTTATTTTTTTTATTATAGAGCCCAGAATGGAGTACCTCCATCTTGGCTTCTGGTCTATAGTTTAAAAGCAGCCTTGCACATGTAAGTCAGTGAAGAGAGAAGAAAGGGAAACAAACAAGGCTACTGCTAGTCTTCCTCCAATCTAATGTGTGACCTGGCTATGTCAAGACAGAACTGGACTAAGATATAAATTGCTAAATCTTCAGTACACAATTAACATGATGTTTTATGAAGTGGTGTATTTTTAATATAAAATTAAAGTTCTTTAACAGAATAACTGACATCATGGTAAGAATCTTTGAGACAGTGAGACGCAGTACAGAATCCACGATGTTCCTATAAAAATTGAGGGTTCAATAGCATATGGAACATTATATATATAAAAAAAAAAATAAAAAAAATAAATAAAAAGGTGTTAAGATTTTATACCATCCATGTAGATTATTAAAAAAGTATGACAGCGGCTATGTTAACACCAGTCAGGAATCTGTATGTTCTCTCTTGCAGTTGTTAAAACTATAATCCATCCTAGATTTTGTAAATTAACTCTATAAAATGCACATAAAATAAAGATGTAGTGGACTCCACTATCGCCTAAGAAAATACCTATATACTGGGTCTTCGCACTGTGACTAGTTTGCAGTAAGCACAGAAAATAGCAGACATTTATAGATCTCAGTTAGGTAAATTCTATGCAAAAATGTGCCTGCAAATATTTTACTACACTGGCCCCCTGGAGCGAGTGCCTTGTGAAAACAAAACAAGTGGGTTAAAGGGACAAAACTAATTTCTGTATTCTGCATTCTCTAAACAGTAGATGGCAAAATTAAACTGCAGTTGAACTGGAGCAAGAAAAGACGTGAATCAGAAAATGTGCCAATATGCACGTAAATAGTCTGAATTCCTAAACCTACAGGAAATAAAAAAAAATAAAAAAAAACACAACTCAGGAGGCTCCAGAAAATCCATTTCTAGAGATTAACACTTTCACTACTATGTTTACAATAAAGTTTCTCTCGGGAGCTTAAAAAAAAAAAAAATAACTTAACCCTTCCCCCATTCCAATTTGCATTCAGTAGAGAGGTAAAAGAACCAAAGACTGCCTTTACAACTAAAGCTTTTCTTTGAATACTCTGAATGCATTCCTTCCATGCTATAGAGAGGGGGATCACTTTTATGCTGGCAACTGTTCCCTCCAGTTCCTTAACACACTCAATGACAAAATATATAAAAAAAAAAAAAAAAAAATACACACCTTTCTCCATAGTAAACGTTTATGTGTGAGAACAAGAAGTGTAACAAACACAGAGAGAGAAAATTATATATACATATATACATATATATACACACACACACACACACACACACACACACACACAGGTTGGTGTGGAAGAGATTAAGTGATCTACTTATGTTAGTAAAAGGGAGGCATTAACGCCATCATCAATACCTGCATGGCTTGATTAATTCAGACAGAAAGTTGTCTGTTGCAGAATTACAATGATTCACTGATTATGAGCTCATACAAACTCATAAGGTGGTTATTATATGATCAACACCTTTAGTAGTTCTCATCAGCTCAAATGAATGAAGTACTCTGATGACAGATATGCCACACAGCAAGCAGTACCAATAAGGACAGTACTGAAATGTTTACTATTTAATAATGTATGACAGGTTTTAGAAATGCTTCCCCAGTTCTAACTATATTTTTCCCTTCCTGGTGTCCGTCAAGTTTCCATAAATATAATAATCCACTATTCAAGAGTTAGATCTCAAAAATGGTGTTTGATCCCAACAGAGATTATTTGCATCTGCACATTACAAAATCAGGTTAATGCGAGACAGATGCTAAAAAGTAAGCAAAAATTGCAATCACAGGCATCTCTTAAAACAAGCACCAATGAATACAGTGAAAGCATTTGTGAAAATAAACCTGGTTAACCAAAAACCGAAATAAAATATTTGAATAGCTAAATTAAACACAAAGAGAATCAAACAGGAGCTGATCGCAAAATGAAAAACATGCTGGAATAACAGGAGAGTTTATTTTAATCAATGCAGTGTTTGGCATAATAAGAAAGCAGGTACATGACTCCATATCACACATGAAATACACATTGTACTAAGATTATTATATGTGGATATGAAATATTTCACCACAGTCTCATAATCCTACGTATTCAACAGTTTTTACTAAAAACATTTTTTAGTTTTTATTAAAAAAATTTTTTTTTTTTTTTTTTTTTTACACAAGTGATTTTACATTCTATAATGGGATAGCCAATATATAGCAAATAACTTCCATGATAATCAATAATTGTTTGGAGTACAATAAGCTAGTAAAGAATCATTGAAGATGTGTATGTTTGTGATAGCTGGAGAGCAAAATAACCCCAATTTAGAAAGGGTTGTAGTCTTGTGTTTTTAATTAGAGCAAAAAAAGGAAATTAAATATTTTGTTTTTTTTATTATATTGCAGTCATCGCTGGATCCTCTCGTAGGCAATAAAAACATATGTGTCTAACTAGAGATAACCGCCAAGAAGGGACTCTAGGACAAAGCAACAGCTGGCTCAACAATGCTTCTTGCTTGGGCTGCAGAATGCCAGCAAAAGCTTCCTTAGTCAGAAGCGTGAGACATTTGATTTTTTTTTTTTTTTTTTTTTTAGTAACATTTCTACAGCACAAGGCATGTAGTCAAAGTCTAGGATAAAATGAGTCAGCAGACAATCCCATTCACACATGAAGTAGAAAGACATTTGATAGACAACTAGCAAGCTATCTGAATATAAATATATACACACACACACACACAAACATTGGGGCACAAAATACAGCTATCAAGAGAATGACCCTTCAATCCTTTAAACAGTCAGGATCCCCAAAGACAACAGAAGGATGGGGTCCAGGGGCAGAAGTAAATATTTTACTAGCCAACAATCTGTGTAACCAAATGGTCAGTTTCTTTGCAATTTAGATTTGCCAAAATAAGTAAGCTTAATTGTTTTCTCCCTAGAAGCAATTGGCAAACCTACTGATTTGTTCGCGAAGCAGTTAATCAAACTGAACTTGTATGTATACCAGGGGAGACAGTCCACTGAAGACATTTGATGAAACAGTCAATCATGTCTCAAAAAAAAAACCCCAGTCTATGTAGACAGTATGAAGGTATAGACAGCCCATCAAATCCAAGGTAAGAGAGTGTGTGTGTGTGTGTGTGTGTGTGTGTGTGTGTGTGTGTATATATATATATATACACACACACACACACACACACACACACACACACACATACATATATACACACACACTAGATAGAGTCCATCTCAACCAAGACTTGTATATGGACAAATAGACAGTTCATCACTTTACATGCATATGCATGCAGATGAGAGATTTCGTTATCTCAGATACAGGAGCCACAGAGATGAGAGAGCCCACTACATCAGCTGCTCTACATACCGGTATAAGGTGGGTTCCTTATAACTGCCCATCACACCCAGACACACATCTGATAGATGAACATGGATTAGCTGAGACAGGTAGTTACAGCAATATACAGGGAGGACACATGGCTGCACAACATCTCAGACACATGTACAGTGTGTGTGTGTGGTTACATCTCAGACACATGTACAGTGTGTGTGTGTGGTTACATTAGACTTCTCCCACACATGCATCTTGGGTTTTATTCGACATTCCCTCCAATAAGTTCAATGCGTGTGGATTAGATGGGAAATAAACTCAGCCATAGACAGACAGATATATATATATATATATGGATGTGGGATAACAGATTTACACCATGAAGCACTAGCTGTAAGGATGTATTACAGACTGGGTCGGTGTGGGTTCACTAGGTGTACCAGCCGCACTCACCAGCTTGCGGAGAGAGCCTTCATCCATAGCGGAGAACCTGTCCTCAGACATGGCAGTGTGTTCAGGCAGCGCTCGCTCTCACACAGCGGTCCTCAAACATCTGATCTCAAACTCGTACCGCAGCTTCAAATCTCACTGCATTTCCTGTGTGCGTCACCGCCCATTACTCCGCCCCGCCCGCTCTCTTCCAATCACAAGCAGAGCACTCACTCTCCGGCCTCCTCCGCAGGTCCCGATTGGATCGATTGAATGCGATTCCCCGCCCCCTTCGCGGAGGACGCCGGGATGTGTAGTTCAAATTAAAGAAAGGTGCAGTGTTTGCAGGTAAGTAGTAAGATTTCAAACTAGAACTGTCAGTTTACAACGGCTCGTGCAGCAAATCACAGTGTCTTCTGTCTCAAGGATCAGTAACGTCTTGTTTCGCATTTTATGAGTATGAACATAGCACTGCGTTTGCTTTATTACAGTGTGTATATGTACAGTCTGCCAACTGTGGAAATATGGTGTAATATAAATGGCAATGTCTGCAAGAGTGGAACATAATAATATTTACACATGGGGATAATTGGCAACGTGATTGCATTTTTTTGAGCAAAGTAGTCAAAATTAGCTTTGCAAGTTTAGCATAGGATGTGTAATTCCAGCTACTCCTGATTTAATGGATAATAACACCAGAGGAGTCACACGAAGAACTGAGATGTCAATAAATCTAGTGAAAATAGCATGACTTAGGATCCCTAAATTTCAAGGGATCTTTAAATAAATCAAGGGTATATTCAGCTATTTGGGCTTAAAGGACCACTATAGGCACCCAGACCACTTCAGCTTAATGAAGTGGTCTGGGTGCCAGGTCCCTCTAGGATTAACCCTTTTTTTTATAAACATTGCAGTTTCAGAGAAACTGCTATGTTTATAAATAGGTTAATCCAGCCTCTAGTGGCTGTCTCATTGACAGCCGCTAGAGGCATTTGCATGCTTCTCACTGTGAAAATCACAGTGAGAAGACGCTTGCGTCCATAGGAAAGCATTATGAATGCTTTCCTATGAGACAGGCTGAATATGCGCGCATGCGCATTCAGCCGAAGAGGAGGAGAGCTCCCCGCCCGGCGCTGGAATAAAGGTAAGTTTAACCCCTTTCCTCGCCATCCAGCCCGGCGGGAGTGGGTCCCTGAGGGCACTATAGTGCCAGGAAAACGAGTATGTTTTCCTGGCACTATAGTGGTCCTTTAAACTAAATAGTTTTCCATTGTCAAATAGTAAATTTAGTTTGTTCACTAAACAGTTAGTTGTGGTGAATTGAAAACCAAATTGCAAAATTCAAGCCAAGCTTTAAATATAGCTCAATTGGAGAAGGTTTCCAACGCCTTTAAAATATCCTTAAATTTTGCATATCCGTTTTTATATTTTACTACAATTCATTAAACGTCATTAAAATACAGAATTGCAGGGTTCAGTGGAAAACTCTGATTTTGACCATTTTGTAATTCTGACACTCGCTAATGGGGTATTCACAAAGGTCTAATGTGCCTTTAAATTAAAAGATTCTAAATGTCTACCTAAAACGACTATAAATAGGTTTAATCACAAATAAGGGAGATTGTTATCATACTTAACATGATTTTTGCTTTTTAACATGGCAGCATTTAAGGATCACATCAAGCACCGAAAAAACTCCAGGCCTTTCCCTCCCTCACATTTTTAGTAGTCAAACTGACATCTTACCTGGGTCTGCCAGGTTTTTAAGTAACATTAGAAATCACTACACACTAAAAGACACTAACACACACACACACTAACAGACACACACACTCACTCACATTAACACGCAATTTTTTTTAATTTTTTTTAATGCAATCCCCCCAGCCTTCTTACCTTTGGGAATGCTGGAGGGGGGGTGGGGAGTGTGTTCTCCCTTTCCCTGGGGTCCAGCGGGGCTGCTGGGCAGGCGGGCGGCGCTGGTGAGGGAGCACTGATAAGTGAGCTCTCTGCTCAGCCGCAGAGTGATGCCGGGAGCCGGAATATGACGTCATATTCCGGCTCCAGGTGACCGGCAACACTCTGCAGCGCACGAGGGAGCTAAGCAGAGAGCTCACTAATCAGTGCTCCCTCGCCAGCGCTGCCTGACCGGATTTTTAGTTACCCGCTAGGCTAACAAGACATTTGCCCATGGAATTTGGGGCAGCTTTTTTTGCTGCCCCCTTGGAAAATGCCGCCCAAGGCAAATGCCTTGTTTGCCTCGCGGCTAATATGTCCCTGGTCACAGTATCTCCAAAACAGTTAGTCTTGTGGGGGTTTTCCATAACTGGTGCAGGGAAGGACAATTGTGAACCGACGTCAGGGTTATGGGCACCCAAGGCTCATTGGTGCACGCGGGGAGTGTAGGCTATCCTGTCTGGTCCCACAAAAGAGCTACTATAGCTCATAATGCTGGTGGATGGCTGGTTGCGTGTGCGTTGTTACCTGTGCAAGAGATTGCAGCAGGATGCACTATGGGAAGAAAGCAAGCAGGCAGATGCACTGTTATGCTCTGGGAATGTTCTACTAGGAAACCTTGGGTCCTGGTATTCATGTGGATGTTACTTTGACACTTACCACCTACTTAGAAATTGTTGCAGAAAATATATACCCCTTCATGGCAATGGTGTTCCCGGATGGCAGTGGTATCTTGCAGCAGGATAATGCACACTGCTATACTGCAAAAATTGTCCAGGAATGGTTTGAGGAACACGACAAAGAGTTCAAAGTGTAGCTTTGGTCTTCAAATTCCCCAGACCTCAATCCGATTCCACATCTGTGGGATGTGCTGGAACAACAAATCCAATCCATGGAGGACCCATTTAGCAACTTGCAAGACTGAAGAGATCTGCTCCTAATGTCTTTGTGCCAGTTACCACAGGATACATTGAGGTTTGGTAGAGCCCATGCTTTGATGTATTAGAGCTGTTTTGGCAGTATGATGGGGACCTCCACTATATTGGGCAGGTGGTTTTTATGTTGTGGCTGATCGGTGTATCTTGAAAAAGTTTGCAAAAGCTGCAGTTCTCATGATCCTTTTTTTTCCCCGACAGGCGGTTTTCTGTCTCTTTTCTGGAAATAGCCTCTGAAAGTCTTCCTCCATGCATGCTCTGATTTGAGGTATGCAGGGGGGATTGACAGCCAGGGGTGTGTTTCATAATTTCTAAAAGTGCAAGTTTCTCATAGAAATTTTCACTTTGATAAACTGCCATTATTATGGGATACTCCTCACCCATAAAGCACTTCAGCAAAGCTACTGCATTGAGCTAAGCCAGAGAGTGCAGGACATGGCTCATTTACTCATGATGTGGCCCTGCACAGGAGGGTTCACTTGGAAGACCAAACAGAAGATCCATCTAGGAGCTTCTCAAACTTAAAGCCGTTCACAAATGATCTACTAACATGGGGTTACTTACTACAGCATGCTACAGTATTTATGATTCTTGGAATGTCCCTTTAACAAGTGGTTTAGCTCTGCCCATTCCCAGCAGAAAAGACAAGAAACAGAACTTGGAAATTTGTCTCAACAGAAACAATCCCTTCATATCAGGCTGTCCAGGCACCAGATAACTTGTGCAGCAGCTTTATTGAATTTACAGGCAAGTTAAGCAATGTTTCGATCTCCACTGAGATCTGTGTCAAGCTGGCATACAGTCTATGCCAAATATTTAATTGAGAAGTGGGAGAAGGCTTGTTTTTAAAGTTTTTTTTATTTTTATTTCCCCCTCCCCTCCCCAATCTATAATGGGACTTACAAGTTTTGACCAACCGCATGGCAAAAGTATCCAAAAATAGTTCCATGTATTTTGGCCCTGCGGTCGGTCACAGAAAAGTGAACAAAACACACGAATGGCCTGGGTTATAGAGCTTGGGGAGGATTCGTATGAATCCCCTTGTTCGTGTGATCCTTTCTACCGAACGGTGGGCAAAACACCGACGGCAAAACACCGCTGTTCGGGAGTCAAAGATGGCCGCCGCCACGTGTTCGTTTCCCAAATGGCGGCCACCCAGAGGACAAAGAACACATTACATCGATTGCCAATTACCCGTTTGCAACATTGTTGCAAATGGTAATTGGAGGCACACTTATTCCTGGGTGGTCTGGTTGTTCGGTAGTTTCACTCAATATAATGAATGGAGTAATTCTACCGAACAATCAGGGGAATGCTGCATATACATATACAATCTAGCCGAACACACAGAAACATACATAATATAAAAGACATCCTTACTGTAATCTGCTACACAGTCTTAAAGGGATATTGTTCTAAAAAAGTCATACGTCCACGGATGGCCCTTAAAGGGCCAGTAGCAGCGATATAAAACACCACAGGCCCAAATATTGCATTCCAAAGTACAAATTCACAAGGGGCCATAGTCAGCAGGTAGGAGGCGGGCAGCCAGGCTTCTCCAGTTCACAGTGGCGAGGTTGGTTTCGCCACAGGTAATAACGTGTATGTTAGTCTAACAGGAGTGTGTGCACTAGGTCAGTCCATGGAGTTGGTGCTCCCTAGTCAAGCTGGTGGTATTTCCCTGCGTCCTGTGCGGGCATCTGGTTGTGCAGATGTTAGATGTAAGTGGTCTGGGTCTCGTGGTGTGTTAGGTGAAGCCCGTGTGTGGTTTGGGAAGTGTGGTCAGGCGTGGTCTTCTGGGGCCTGGGTCAATTCCTGCGGGTCACCGTCCACCCTGGGTCAGGGCTGCCGGGGCTTGGGTCGCACGCGTCACTGTTGCTTCACAGTCAAACTTCAGAATCAAGGCGCACGTCACCTTCCATGGTGACCCCCCCAGTCCAGTCTGCCACCCCCCATGGTTCCTTTGGTCAACCAGTCTGCACATTGCATTGTCTCACTTTCTGTGCGTCAAGGTTTGGCATGCATAGTCTTACAGCTTATAAGGTGAGCATTATATAGTGATCACTGCTGGGAGTGGTGTCTAAAACGGAGCCTGGTAAGTACTCTCTGATCAACTATATCTCTCGTATCCAAAGGGATTATCAGTGAATGGTGAAAATAAGGCTTTTTTTTTCTGTCTCATGTGCATCATTCAACCAGGTTTTCGAGTTGGCTTGGCGGGCCGTCTGTAGGGTT